GTTGATTTGTCCTGTCTCAGAAAGTACTGTTTATCTAATACGGATAGTGTTGGTGGTCTACCAGATGTTGCATGCTTGTTAGGAGTCCCATTTGTTCTCTTTTTTTTAACTTCAGTTTTGCTTTTTTATTTCTTTTTTTAGTTTAACAAAATTAGCTAATTTGCTTCTTATTATATGAAATACATTTTTTAGGTTGAACTGATGAAGGTTTTTTTTTACAGTGCAGAAATATCCCCTGAAAATGAGTACCTTCTTAATGGCTGTTTTGACAGGAAATTAAATAAAAAAAGGGTGGTCTCTGACTATTGCACAGTACTCTATATGCTCTATAGAAAACCGTCATAAATGTTTAATTAGGTGACAGAACCGATTCACTTTTGTTTAAAGGCTTCACTATCTCTGTTGTCAATCTCTGCACTTCACAGCAAGTATAAATGATCTTGAAAGGCTATCAGTCTCCAGATGTAGTGCAATCCCAGCATTCAACATGGACATATAAACAAACATGTCAGGCCAAAGTATGGCAAATATGGCAAAGTAGTACTGCTTAACAAAGCATGGAAAATGTTAAACCATATTTAAACATGCTCTATCTGTCATGAGACATCAAAATCTTAAGGATTCAATGTGAGTCATCAAGCTGGTTGTACACTGAGTGCATTTCACAGCACACATATTTCTAACACATACTAATCCTCATTCTGTATCAAGTCCAAATACTAGGATACATGACTAGCTGTATCAAACAGCACTCCTAACTGAGCACGTGGACCCAATGTGTGAGGAAGATCAGGTATTCTCAAGACTCCCCGCTTCAGCTGTATCACAGTACTGGATTAAAAAGCTTCCAAAATGTGGTTTGTGTAAATCTGCACATGAATCCTTTAGAGCACCCCAGAGGCAAAATATAAATCTTATATTTAAGCTCATGACTGGATCAAATATGTATCCAGACATGAGCTTGATTATGTATCAGTAATATTTATTATTTATTATTTATATAAATGTCAAAATGTCAGGTCATTGTTTTAGAGCTTAAGCTCATTAATATAAATCAGTTGGATTTATGTATTACATCACCTAATTCTGTCAAGACAACTTCATATTCATCTTGCATGTGATATGATAAATGTTTGAATAATATTAAAACAAAAATAAAGAAGGAGTTGTGCCAAGCTCTTTTCTCTAGACAGTCAGCACATGCTCTAAGTAGTCATGACTTCTTGCAGAAACTCAGAATGAACTATGTGTAGAACTATGACAGGTTTATAGCTTGACATTTATTTAGCACGTCTTCCTCAAAACACCTAAACTGCTGCTCCAATGACAATCTAAAGAATCTGGAAAAAGCACATTTGTAGGTGAAGGCTAAACCTCTATAGCATACTCTTTTCAGTGAAACTGGCAGCTTTATATCTTTGCGGTGAAAGCCTGAGATGATAAAAGGCCCATCATATCTTGTGCAGATAAAGCAAGCTGAAACAGATGGTTTGGACCTGAAGCTCACACAGTGAACCGTTTCTCTGTAACAGGTTGGGAGGAAAACTGATAAAGAAGAGGCAAAAAGGGAGGGATGGAATTCATCCATGCGTCCACTGCATGGCCCTATCTGCAGTTAAGCCTCGTCTGCTCTGCCCCAGGCTGGAACGGCGGCCCACCCGAGCGGTTCCACGGCCGACGCACGCGCACAGACCCAGATAAGACGTGTGTTTGGCCAGCTATGGGAGCTGTCATTCCGAACAGGAACATCCAGCACCATCTGGCCGGGCCCTCTCGCGCCTGCTTTACTGCGCACCGAACCGCAACACCAAAAAGCCTTCCACCTGCTCCATCCACCACCGGCTACAGATAACTGCTCAGCACCACAGGGTGTGCTCAGTGCACGTGTTTGTATATGCATGTTTGAACAATAGGCAGAGACATACATTGTATTCATATCATGAGTTTTCCCGCATAGATAAATTTACACTTCAGAATAGCAGCAACAGCTCATGTTTTTCTTGTGTTTAAAAGAATACTCCAGGGCCGGAACTAATTTTGTTACAAGAACATCTGTGGACAACCATGTGAACTTCTGGGCTAAAAGTCAGTGGAAACGTAGACATTTTAGGGTGGGAACAAGCTGAGAATAAACCAATCCGACAATGGCGATGGTGAGCTTGCAACACTGCGAATGGACAACAAGGCTGTCGTTAGCCCATGGATGTAATGTAAGTTAGCATGGTAGAATTATTCCGTATTATAACTCCAATTAAGCATGCAGATGTGTGTTGTGTGCGAGGAGAACACATGTAGTAGCAATAAACCTCTTGTGAGAAAATCATTACTGTTAGCTAACAATAGTGTTTAACTAGATAGTTTTTGCTTGTGTTATCGATTGTGCTCTGTATGTCAAATAAGTACAAATCAGAGAAATTTGGGGCAGGTTTTAGAGTGAGCACACCCTTGTGTGTGGCGGATTCCCAGCAATCTGACACCAAAAGTTTAACAAGCTGTCCCCAGACATGTGTTCATAAGTATATTCTCATTACAAGATCCCTTCTGACCCTGCAAGATTAGCTTATCTCTATCTCCTGCAACTGTAGCATACGGTGGTTTACCATAGACAACTATTTCTCTGTATTAAGAAAAAATCAAAAAGCCATTAACTTGAAAAAAAAAAACACATATGACAGAACACACGAACAGCCAAAAATAGGCAATCAACAATTGGGGAGATGGTTTCAGACAGAATAAAAGCAGCATGTTAAGCTAAATATAAACATGGTAAGGTTGTATTGCCTTTCATAGGATACCTGTGATGACGATCACAACACTTTGAAACCAGTCCGTTATGAAACAATGTGAGCTAATTGTTTGTTTGTTAAGTGCATTTCTGCCCACTGACTTCTGTTATAAGTGTTTCTTGAGTCAACAGGCTTTCTGCTCGTTTACTACATACAGAGAAAAAGGCCAAAATTATTGTTAATGCTACAGACATGGTACACTGAGACTAGGTTAAAAACACTGAAGTATTCCTTTAAGAATTACAGCATAAAATCAGAGACAGGATAAAGGTTGGAAAGCAAAAGATGTGACCTCTCCAAGGACAGAGGAGAGATTAGTATCTGCAAATGATGATTAGTGCAGCATCCAGAGGAGTAGAAAAGTAGAAGAAGGAGGATGCCTGTTGATCTTCGGTGCCACCAAGAAAATCTTAAGCAAAATCAATCACAGGAAAGGACAGCAATCAGACTTCTAATTAGACAGAAATCTAACACTTTTCTCGCAAAAAATATTTACACAGTCTGGATGTCAGTCTTGGTTATTTTATTCATAACACTGTTTTTGCAATCATCCATTTTCAGATGCATGCGTGAAACTGCATCTGTAAACTCATCAGCAAATGAAACACTGCGCAAGATGGAATACTAATATGCTCTTCCTGTTCATCCCTTGGTGGCAGTCACACACATTTTAATATCAAAGTGTCACTATTTCCCACATCAGTTCAGATGTGGATAAACAAACTACAATGACACAGGATTGATATTGGCTTTGTACTTCAAGGCTGGGGAAAAAAAGATTCACATCCAGAGAGCTGGATCAAAGGCTCTGTCTTATCGTCCTTTATCACTTTGGGCAAATAATATCTTGAAGTGCTTCACTGGATATGAACACAGGAAAAAAGGAGAAACTTCTGCTGCTCTGCTTCAGTTAGTGGAAGCTGACAGAGGGAGGTCTTGTCCTCTAATTAATCTGGCAAGTCTTTCTGCTTAAACACTGGATCACTTTGCAGACCTACTGAATTATTCACACACGCAATGTCTACCAGCCACTGTATGCCGAGAGAGGCCACAGCAGGAGAGGAGGAGAGAGAGAGAGAGAGAGAGAGAGAGAGAGAGAGAGAGAGAGCGAGAGAGGGAGAAAGAGAGAGAGAGTCCCAATGCAGCAGCTATGAATATAGCTACAGGAGTCATTCTAGGTCACAGGCATATTGATAGTTCAAGCACTGTCCTGCTGTTTAATTCCCTGCAGGACATGTATCACACACGTCCTTCAGAGCTGGATTTTGCACAGCATAATATACAGAGCACTTGCACTCATTGGCCATTTCATCAGGTACATCTACCATGTAGGAGCACTGATTGTAGCCCATCTGTTGCTGCACAATTTGTCAGGCAACCTCTACCACGTCCATCAAATTAAATCTTACAGTAAGAACACTGGGTCAAGTCTCATCGGTTCCTTATAGTTCTATTCAACGATATATAAAAGACATAAGCTTTACATAAGAATATGTAAATAACCATAACTACATGTTAGATGTGTCCATAGATGTGAATGATTCTGTAGAAGATTATAAAATGACAAAGAAAAGCATAGAGAATTAAGCTATATTAAAATAAATTTCCAAGATTCATCATATTTCAGAAGTGGAGATCTCAAAGAGGATAACTTGACAAAAATGATGTAAACAGATGATTGCAGTACATTCTATATCATTTAAGAACATCATGTTCACTGAATTCTTGAAATATTGAACAACACATGTAAAAATGGATGAATAGTTTCATATTTAAATCCACAAGCAATCATTGTACATAAAATAAGTTAACAGGAAGTGATTCCACACTTTTGAATGATAATGCACCAGGCACAGCAGTATTGCTGTCAAAGATGGGCTACAATCAGTAATTCTGAATCCACAAATGGTAGCTACAAAAAGGACAGTGAGTGCAGTTACAAGATAGAAGTGTCTAATAAACTAGCAACTCAACGTATACATTTTTATAGGCGTAATTCCATCATTCAAACTCATAACTGCAATAAATACAACAAACACAGAAACTCATTCCAAATTACCAGCTGACAGCCTATTCAATCGGTATATGAACAAAAAAGCCTCTATAATTCATTTGGACCATATATATATCAGATTTACAGTATTTAATCTGTTTAAAACAGAAATGTGAGAAAATTATGAACACGTTTGAAAGAAACATACCATAAGATGTGCATCCCCAGTCAAAGAACCTTTATTTATCTTCTGTTAAGAACAAAAACCCCTCTAACCCTCAAAGCCCTGTGACATGTCTGCCTTCATGTTCCCCTTCCTGTCCACAAACACAGGGTCAAAAACACAGTAGTCTTTTCAGTCCATTCAGTACCGTACACAAACACTTATAAAACCAAAAAAAGCAACAATGAAAATAAAAATGGAGGAATCAGCCCAAAGGTTGTTTCCAGACAGGAAGATCAGAATGCATGACAAAAGTCCTCTGTTCTTCCACCTTGTTTCAGCAATCTTAAAATACACTGGACCATTACACAACATACTGTACAGAAGAACAGATGAGATGGGGAATGACTCTGCAATGAGTCAGGCGGGAATGACAGGCTGAAAGTCAAAAAACTTGGAGTTACATGGGCTGGGATGGCTACAAGCGGGCATCATGGAGGGGGCTTTGGAATGGCTTTTGTGTGACATCCACAGCTGGCTGAAGATGCATCACATCATTTGGCGGTATAGTTATGAATCAAAAGGTCATTTACAGTACAGTACATTCAACTTTTTTTGTGGTTACTTTATAAGTTGTTAAATCTGTCCAAACATGTAGCGGTTTATTCACATACTATTCACATAACAAATATACATCTATATGTACACATACTCTCCACTTCCAATGTGAGTGTCCAGGCACTTTCTGACAAAGTCCAAGGTTGTAAAAGAAAAGACAGTTAATTGAAATCCGTCAAACACTGCTGTTCTTTCTGTAACAGCACTCATTCCAATATCACCTCCCTATTACAAACTGCTCCATCTGTCTGACCATTCAGTGGATTCCCTCGACTCGCTAAACCGACTCTTTGACTTGGCAGCGTGGGCCGTGCTGGATGCCATTAGCTGCAGAAACTGTCACTCACTGTTACCTCAGAAGCCTGCCTGACATCTGGGGTGACATATGCACAGCTGTAAATTCTGCACACCAGCTGTACTGAGAGCATGTGTGGCTCTCTATGACAGTAAATGTGATGGATCTCTGATATGACATTTTCAACCATTCTACAGTTCAGGATCATTATTTGAGAGGTGTGTGCATAATGTTAAAGCACATTTGGGGATCAAAATGGTCACTGAGTGGGGGGTATGTGGGTTTCACTCGGTAGAAATAGACCAATGTCTCTGATTTAATTGCGTATGTGTGCTCCGTCCTCATGTCTTCTGTATGGTTGAGGAACACCAGTGAAAGTACTCCCACAGTGAAATGGAAAACTGACAGCTTAACAGACTCACACTGCTGGAATTCCAAACTGAAGGATATATCTTCACCCTTATCAGAACACTGCTTCAGGGAAACAGTCACCTAAAGCCAAAGGTCCACAAAGTGTTAAACAGAAACCACTCAACAAACACAAGTCAGTCTGAAGATAAATAGTTACAAATTGACAGTGGCGGACTCCCCATGCTCCATTCCATTCCTGTCTTTGCACTAGGAGTACAATTTCACCTTTGTTACAGTCTTTGAACGAGCTTGTAAAACTCCATTAGCACTACTCTCGTGCAGCTATTGAGGAAGGGCATGGGGGTCAGCCTGTAATCCACCTCTTCCTTCACGACACTGACCGCCCGCACCCGGCTAATGCACTCCTCTTTGCACACACAAGATGGATTAGCTCTTCAGACTTAAGACTTAAAAGAGAAGATCTGCAGACCTTGAGTCTATATACAAGCGAGGAAAAATAAAGAGAAAAACAGACAAGATAGTGAAGCCTCAGCAGCGCTATCAAATTTATGAAAGCTCCCCTTTCAGGCAGAGGGATAATGTGTATGGCACCATGTCTGAAGTAATAGACTCCGCCTCTGAGACCAGTACTGATGTTTTCTCAGTGGTCCACGCATGGCAGGTCCATGACACAGTTAAGAGTCACAAGCACAACAACTTTTATCGTGAACTCCAGAGACCTAGTTAGAAAAGAAATGTCCAAAGCTGTTAAGTGAAAACCTCTAGCTGGCTGTAGAGATGCACTGAAGGTGCACCATCATGTGAATAGGCAGTTGATGAAGAGCTGGCTGCTGATCCAGTTTTTAGTTTGCAGTGCGTGTATGGTTGGACCTCCTCCTGGCTGCTCATGAAGGCTGAGGCAGATCAGGGCTCAGATGTGCGGCTCTAGTGAACTGCACATGAAGAGAACACACCCAAGCAAACGTCTGTTTCGTTTCCTCAGTCCAGCCAACTAGGGACACACAGGTGTTACACAGCGCCAGTACAGCTCAGCACAGAATACACAGTGCACTGTCTCAGGAAATGAAGTCAAGTCACACGCGTGCTTTGTATCAGACCCCAGGCTTTGCGTTATTTCTGGAGGATCACTCAGAGCCCGGGGGGGATGCGGGAGATGCTGAAAAAATTCGGAAAAACCAATACCAAACCACAAACAACCAACCAGAACTTCACATTCCAGGGCGAAAAAGGCGGGGGCCCCTGCTCATATGTTAATTTTCCGTATTTTTTTTGTCCCATTTCAAATGAGATGACAAAAGGGAAAGAAAGAGATATGGAAGGAGGTCACAGAAAAAAAGAAGAGAGAGAAAGCTATATAGATAGAGAGAGAAAGAGAGAAAATGAATCTGCCAGCAGTCCTGCTCTTCACAGTGAAGCCAGTGAGGGGATATGTTGTTATCTGACCTCCATGCACTCCAAATACTCCAGCACCAGGTCATAACAGAAGCGATACTGCTCCTGCAGAACATATGTAGAAAGAAAAAGAAAATCAGCATCCTGAGAAATAATAAATAATAAATAGTGGTGTCAAAGTTAATAACACATTAACATTATAAATGATTAACGCCACTAATTTTTAAATACTGTTAATGCATTTCCCTAGTTTGACCCTTTAAACCATTCATAGTTCCAATCTGAAGCGCAGCTGTTCTAGTGCTGTATGTTGCTATGACTGACTCAGCGACTGTACTCCTCTTATTCAAATATAGCTTTTATAGGTGCATCTACAGATAGACCCAAGGGGAGGTTGAGCCCCGGCCCATTTGCCTTTAGGTACTCTCTTGGTTAGTGTGTATAATAACTGCATTTTATATTGCCTGTACTATTCTTCAACATCCTTTTCAGCAAGATGAGGCCCAGCAACAGAGCTTGGTGGTTGGCTTGGGTTTTATGAGATTCATTGCTCTTAAGCGTCCCATCTGCTGCAGAACTGACCACCTGTGGAGATCTCCCCTTAACTCTGACCTGTGATGCACCAACACAGAGCTAGAAATCTCACCAATAAATCACTGTTAATCTCTATAAGAAAGCATCACATTTCATGATGTGGTTATTTTGAACAACAACCAAACATAATTTTGGCAATAAGAGGTTCCTCTTGAAACAAAGCATATCATAAAGGTACATTGCAAAAAATTATGGAGCTTTTAAACTTGAAAAATAACCAGGTTAACTTGAAATGTTGAGTCCACTGAACTTCAAATAATAATTAAACAAGTGTAAAACACCAATTATTCGTATAGGAATATTACAAGTTCAATGAACTCAAAATTTTAAGCTAACCTGGTTACTTGCTTTTTAAGTTTAAAAGCTTTTTACAGTGCATGACAGCAAGGAGGGCTACAACCGCAGAGAAGTTAGAACATGCAGCCACTTTTGCTCTCACATTGTTGATGAAAATTAAAAACTGTGCTCAAACTATTTTCATATTCATTCTGCGTTCATGTGATTTTCATGATTTTCAGTTTATGCAAACATAATGTTATTGAATTATTGAAGATAATAAATATGTCCTGATGAAGCTTGTCCACTCATACAGGTCTTTAGGGTCAATAAGGCAAACGTGACTGACTTAACAAATTAATGTGATTAATCGTGAATAATTACTTTAATCATGTGACAGCCCTAATAATGAATCATAACAAATCTGGCACTGACATTTCTGGCAGAAGAAAGTGAATATTTCATGTTGTTTTCTCGTTTGCTACATCTGCGCACATTCTACCAGGTAAAAGGTTGATAGTGAATAAGGAAGAAGTGTTTCCACTTCTCACAGCTGGGCTCATTTGCTTTTGGGAGTTTACACAGTGCTGGACCTACCAGTGTCTCCACCATGTTAGGTTTGGCATTGCGCAGGGTCTTGACAGCGTAGAAAACATCAACCACATTCTGGTACTGAATCATCTCCATCAGAATAGTACACGCAGAGAACATGCCGCTACGGCCTCCGCCGTTCCTTAACAAGCCAAAAACAATTAAAAAAAATTAGCAATTATATAGTCGTACACACAGTGTATGATTCTGCAAGAGAGTAGAGAGTACAGTAACACATATGCACTGAGACATGGTTTAAGCCGGTGGCCAGTAATATCCACTTTTTATTTGGCATTTGGCATTTATATTCAAACAACCTGAGCAAACAGCATTCAGTGGGCTATTGGAGGAGAGTGGAGCGGCGGCTGTAGAAAGATAAGGTCATAGTGGGATAATCAATCGCAGTCAGAGTCTTGGCAGCTCCGGATGCAGAGCTGAGAGAGGCTACTGTATTCAGTATTAGAGCATAATTGATTTCATCTCCATAATCTCTTTCCCTCTGCTTGCGGGGGAATAACGCTGTGTGACAGCTCTGAGTGATGTGCTTTTCAGTAGAGAGGCTGCACATGCTTGCAGGCACAAATAAGGAGCATTCCGCATAACTCTCCCCCTCCAGACACGTTTGTTTGTGTGGATGTGTGTACTGTGACTGCAGGTATCTAAGTGGGTAGAATTTCCGTTTGATGCTGAGAAGCTTTGTGACCATGCCTGTGTGTTTGTTTGTGTGTATTAGCAACTAATTTTCATTCAGGACAGAATGGATCTCTTGCCTAGCTATTTCTACTGCTCTCTCTCAGACGGAAGACCTAATCTGTTTACTGGCAAAGACTTTAGATGAAAACTAGAGCTGGAAATAGGTCATTTATGTCAGAATTTACATAATTTGGGATAGCTCATAATTAGTCCATTACATTTTCAGTAACACTCTACAGCGGGGCAGTGCTCATTAGGCTACAATCCATTTCCATTTCAGATGAGCATGAGCCCAGAAAAGTCAACAGTTTTTGGTCAACAGTTGACATATGGCAGGCTACACTTGCATTTGTGGCTGCAGCAATGAATGGTGTTTATTGACAATGGTTTGTTATTATGTACTATAAAGGGTGAAATACCTAAGATCCTTCCAATCATTTGGTGAAAAACATTGGACCTCATTCACCAACTGTTCTTAAGAAGAAATTTCTTCTTAAAACTCACTTATGCAGTTTTCGCAAAGAGTCTGCCATTCACCAGTGTTTTCTTATTTGAGATTTGTTCTTAGGTAAGAACAGAATCTACACACACTCAAGAGCACAAAGGTGCGAACAATTCTGCAGTTTAAGAACACGTCATGAATCTTGAGACTTTTTTTAGGACATTTCTCAAGAACAAATTTAAGAAAACCTTAGGAAGATATTGATGAATGAGGCCCAATATTCTTAAACTGCTGGATTTGCTGATGCATTCTTGCTCATAAAGGCTCCTTTTATACCCAGGCATGATTGCATCACATTTTGAAGATGTTTTCTGGATATTTCACAACATTCCAAGTCTTAAACTGCCTCTGTCTCAACTTTTTTGGAATGTGTTGCAGGCATCAGTTTCAGAATGAATGCATGTTTAAAACAGATAGATAGACAGACAGATAGATAGATAGATAGATAGATAGATAGATAGATAGATAGATAGATAGATAGATAGATAGATAGATGTCTTGTTTTTGTATTATCTTTGTTCAAATACAGGTCATCATAGATTTATAAATGAATGCTTTCAGATTTTATTTGCATTTTACCTATCCTATCTTTTTTGGAATTGGGTTTGTACGCTCACAAACAGGCACAGACCTACATAACATTTCTAAACACTCATTCCAAAAGGCCTTATTTGTCATAACGGTTGCATTTGCATCTCGTGTCAAGTTGACATAACATCTGTGTTAGGTGACACAGATCTGTTTCTCACATTAGGTTGTCATGACATGTTTGGAGTGAAATGGCACAGACTTTGTAGCTCAGTGTATGTCACAGTGACATAATGCTGATAATGGGCCAAAGCTTGCCAAGTCAGGCAGACAGAATTTTTTTTGAATGTAGTCAGGTTTGGATTCTAAACGTGGACTTGAGCAGAATATTCTTGGGCTGTTTTCATATTTGGATCAAAATTTCAGGATTAAATAAAAACTGCAGACAGTGTGCATGCTACTCACAGGCAGTGGACCACTGTGCGGCCCTCACCACATTCTCTTTGCCACTTCTGCACGTGGGCTAGAAGGTTGAGGAAGGCCTTCTTGGAGTCTGGAACATCACGATACGCTGACCAGCGCAGGAACTGGAACTGGCACACCACAAGCTGACCCTCCTGGAGCTAGCCATGGACAAGAAAAATGGGCGAATAATGAATCATCTGCAATAAATTTTGAGCGTGTTTATGACCGTATGCAGCAGCATGGAGTTTTTGCCCATGTTGAGCTCTCTGTAGTGCAGACTCAGCAGGGTCTGGGTCATGATGAATGAGTCTGTGGGGAAGAGTAACACTGGAGAGACACACACCGGCCCTGATGTACTCACTCCTCTGGCCCTAAACACAAACTGCATTAATATCCGGCCCTGAGGCACACCCCAGAGACTATCCTTGGGCACCTTGCATATCAACATGGGCACAATGACCAGTGCTAAATGCACCGATGGAAAGAGCAGCTTCAGCAACTCTAGGCAGGGGTTTTTCAGGCGAGTCGCTCAAGAAAAGGCATAAAACCAACACTTCTTGAAGACTTTACTAAAGTGAAACATCTTACTACCTCAATACAAAGTGACCAATATGATTTTGCCATCAATACCTAGACCTGTTTTAAGGAGCTTTTAAATATGACTGTCAGGTCTCAACAGTCACGTTTCTTGAATTCATTTTAAAGCTGAAACAAAGTTTTAAATGCTATACGTATTACAGTACTGGGGCAGAGCCCTGTAACATTCTTAGTGGTTTTGTGGGTTTCTGATAACTAGCTCTTATTTATCATCAGTTCTTCCATACAGTATTCCGTGTTATTTTAACCATGAAGGTCACCCATTCTGTAATAGTGGTGAGTAACTGGTGGGGTCGTAAAAAAAGATCGATACACTTGAGTATCATTATATTATATTTTGTGATACTGTATCGATTCTCAAAAACATAGTATCAATTTTAAATTAATAGTTTACATGCAAAGACTCGTGGCAGACCATGGTTCATTTATGTTATGTTTAAACCCTGACCACTGGATGGCACTCATTCAGCCATTAGACTCTTCCACTTTAACGCAAACAAGTAGGGTGCTACTTGTAAGAGTGCATCACTAACGTTAGCATTACCAAACCTAGCTGAAGTAGTAACGCTACCACCAACAGCTGAATCCGAAAGACCTAGACCAGTGTTCTAACAATTGGTCCTACCCATCATACGAGCATACCTATGTCATTACTATAGCATAGCTAGTAACTTGTGATTTTAATGTTAATTCAGCCTTACTTCAAGTCTGTTACACAGTCTATTGCACTGTCCAGCTTAATGTTACTACTTACCCCCTGATAAGACAGGCTATCAAAATATCCTGCTTATGCTTTAAATGTTGGTAACATTTTCTGATAAGGCAATTTAGATGAGGCTAAAGTCTGCTTCCATTGGCCAGCTTCTTGTTTAAATTTTCCCGTTCTACCTTACATGGTGTTACATTCATAGTTACATTCTGGCACCTAAGGCATTGTAATAATAACTGCTGCACCATTTAAGGTGAAATGGGAAAATTCGAACAAGAAGCTGGCGAATAGGAAGGTGACTTCAGCTTTTTGTGATTTAGGCTATCAAAATGTCCTACCTACAGTTTTATGTAGCGAGCCACCTATATTTATGCCCTACTGTAGGACATTTCGCACAATGTGTCAGAACAAGTCTTTCGTAATATGATGAATACAATGGAGCCTCATTACACCATACCCTCCCGACAACACATCACTGATATCACTGTGGCTAAGCTGTACAAGGAGGTAAGAACAAACTTTTATTTTTTACTGATATAGGCAAATATTAATTTTTGTTCAGATTGCACAAAAAGCAGTGTTATGACGTTGGATGTTACAGGGACTATGACAAATGCAAATGCAGATCCCACTGTTCTGATTGTATAAAAAGTAAACTTTTTCTTTTACTCAGATTGTATGCATATGGTCGTGTTTTCTTTTGTTCTGACAGTTTTCTTAAAATTACATTTAAAAAAATCAAAATAAATCACATGTTGTGATATACTGCGTTATGGTAATGCAATATATCACAACATATTGAATCATAATCCCTTTATCGTGATACATATCGCATCACCAAGTTCTTGCCAATACACTGCCCTAGTAGCTGGTGGCTGTCAATCTGGTAGGCTCTATAAAGTGTGGCATGAGAGTATGACACCATTCACATCCTCAAAAATTAATAACATTTTTTACATAAGAGATGTGTATGTTCCTCAGATGGTCATACCAAATCGTTCGGATCATTCAAGCAAAATAAAACAAATGTTCTGATTTGATACGCAGAAGCTTAGACTGTTCCTTCATTTATATATTTCAAGTAATATGTATATTATGGGTGTGCAGGCTGCTGTTTTCTGCAATTCTTTGTCTTTTACACACGGAAATAAGAATTAGTATCATTTAGAATCAGTATCATTGCATCCAGAAGCTTCCAGAAGAAGATTTTTGACCCAGTTGGTGAACAATCAAACATGCTACCTACAAGCTACAGCTAATGCAACGTTATTGGACAGCTCAAAGTGCTTGGAGGAGAATGCTACGTGAGCTAACAGATGCCCATGTTGGCTAGCATCATACACCCAGAGCGAGCAGTCAATTATGCTCTCTTGGACTCCCAGCCATGGATGGCACATTGCTGGGATTGAAGATTTGATCTCCTGACGACAGAGCCAATGCTTAGGAGGTGCACTGAGCCCCTCATGAGCTCCCGCCTTCCTTATTTTGTTTTATAATGATGTAGAATGAGTTACATGAAAGCAACATAGCTGCAATTTTTGCAGATCCATCTCAGCTGATTTTATCGGCCAACTCTTGTGTGAGTCGGATGAGCAGTGGTCTGTTTCTAAGCTGGTATGACAGTGTAAGGTGAGGGGAGGTGCAGGGTAAGATGACAGGCAGCTAGAGATACTGTATCACATGACAAGGTCTGCTTCCGAGCTACCACTTGTCACACAGAGAGACAGCAGGACATTTCCAGATGTGGACAATGACTGACCAACCATCCTCTCATCCCAACAACACAGAAACACAAACAACCCCAGAGCTCTCTCCACCCCCACCAACAAACAACCATATACCGACAGTTATGTAGCCTACGATAGAGACACACACAAGCTTGCTCACAAAAGCGAGGAAAAAGCCAGTGTGACAGCCTTTTTATTTTGTCTGATGACAGTCATGTCATTTTTTCTGCTTTTATACGCAGCACTGCCTATGTATGTATGTCACAGCCTCCATTAGAGTAAAGCAGTATGCTGGCCAGGCTTCACCTGCAAGGAGAGCACTATGATGCACCCAAAGGAGAACAGAAGAAGACAGAGTCTTTTCCAATAATGAGCTGGGGCAAATTGAAAATCACAAGCTTGACCTTTCGTGGCATGCTCATTAATGTGTATTTCATATCTGCAGGCTTATGGAAACTCATCCTAACCACTGCATTTGTTGCATGATGTGTTAGGAGAGGCTTGTTTTTGGTGCGACTTAAAGGAGACATCCAGGTGCCACCTCCTTAGTTTCTGCCTATTTTTGTGGATCTGGAAAATTAAGATGGTTTGGCAAAAAAACAAAAACAAAAAATTTCCTCTTACCCCATGTGTAGTGACGTGTCTTCCTGTTACTTATTGTATGTGCATGTGAGCCTATTTGAGTCTATTTGAGATTATGATGCAGTTTGAGACGAATGTGTGATGATTTAGACATGCACTGTACACAGTGTTAACTGGTGGAGTATAAGCTCTCATTACTTTTTAGATACATTAGCGTTATAACTGCAGTGTAAAACTAAAGAAGCAAGCCTCAGACACCAAACATTTCTTGGCTATCGATTACTATTAGGGTTGAATTTTTGCCTAATCAATTGAAATCTGGGATAAACTGTTGCTTCCAAAGGTTCTTCTTGGGACACACAATGTGATCATAATAAGTGCACGCATGTATTAGAATTATGATGACATGCGCTACCAACCACAAAAAGAGGAAAAATAGTACACAGATGATCAACATTATAAACGACAATTCCAAATGCACCTCAAGTTACGAACTTTAATGGCAAGTATTAAAAAACAAAAAAAGGAAAACTGTAATACAGTTCAGAAGAGGAGTACAGCTCATCTTATGAATTTGTATCTAGGCACAAATGAGGTAAAGGCTGAAGGAAATTACTGTGAGCTAAATTACCATTTTCAAGAAAACTAAAAAGGCAAATTTTATGCAATTAGATCATTGCACTTAATCACTGTGCGAGTAATTTTCTAAAGTGGAAAGCAAAATGATGAGGTTTAGAGATCAGAGCGAAGATATGTAATTTATTATAGTAAAGAAAAGGCTGCAGCAAGAAATATTTCAGAGTTTCACACCTTGAACTATTTCTGGTGTGGATTTCCTTTAAAAAGCTTTGGTTAAAAACTTTCAATGAGTACTAAAGACTTTTTTATGCTTATATAACAGCACAACTTAAAACATGTATTTCAAGTATGCTAAGAATGTAGCAGTAATGCTGAGGATGTGTAACATTTAATCTTATATACTTTGGTGAAACATGAAAGAATGAGAAAGGACATGAGCCCACAGTGTTCTGGTACATATAAAACACTACTCAAAGTACAAAGTTTTGTTTTTCATGTTAAAATATTTGCTTCCAGCCTTGCACAACCCCTTAAAGCGACAGTCTGTCACACATTTACACACTTTTCTGTCTTACCCTAAATGTAGCTGACCAGCCAAGACATGTTTGGCATCCAAAATTTTGTTTCTTTAGTTTGGCACTGAAGGCTAATAAAGCTAGCAAGTAATGGAAGCTTATACTCCGCAAATTAGCATTGTGTAAACTGTGTACACCTAAATCATCACACACTTTCCTCAAACCAATAGACTTGCGTATGTTGTTTCTAACACTGTATGACATTATTATAGATAAATAAAGGGCAAAAGCATGTAGTATAACTAAAAACAGTAGCAGCAGCCACTTTGAACCCTGAATTCTATCACTTTAAGAGCCACAGCAAATATTATTTAAAAAGATGGTCTACAGTGTACAACGTATATCAAATGAGACTCACCCTTGTGACATTTTTGACACGGAACAGTCGAGTGACGATATCCTCATCAGCAGACATGGAGAGGAATTCCACCTGCATGGGGCCATACTGCTGGAGTCCAGGCTCTGGCCAGTACTGCACACATGGCTAGATACAGAAAGAGAGAGAGAGAGATAGACCAAGAGAGAAAGAACAAAGAGGGATAAAGGATGGTTAAGAAAACATATATTCAAGCCTTGACAAGCATCTGAGCTGTTTCTAGAGGGAGACTGTTTCGTGAAGGTCAAGCGCCTCTCAGGCAGAATGTGTTCGAGTCATCGCTCCAGGTTTAGAGAAGAACAAAGAAATAACAAAACAATGCAAGTCACAGTAAAGCAGTAGCAGGGCAGTATATAGTGTAATAGGCAGCTGAGTGGCAAAAAAGAGGACAGTGTTTAAATGCCAGCAGCATTCAGTAACAGACAGTAATGAGAAATGCAGTGAATGAGGGAGTGAGAGAGGGAGAGAGAAAGAGAGATAGAAGTAGATGGGCCTTAATGAGACAACAGGGAAGAAAGAGCGATAATACTCGGAGACTGCTGTCTTCACAGAGTGAGCAGTATTAACGCTGCGACACAAGCAAGGAGATAAATATTAATACACTTGGACTGCAGAAAGGGAGAGAGAGAGAAGAGGGAAAAAGAGAGAGTGAGACAAAGATGAAGGAGCAAAAGAGCGGAAGACTGAGAGATAGAGGCAGGGAGAGAGAGAGTGCATGAGAGACAGAGAGGGACAGAGAGAGAGAGGGAGGAAATAAGCCTTAATCCACTCGAGTATAACATGAAGAGAAAGGAAGACAGAATGACACTGAGCAAATGGCTCTGTGTGAGCACACACCAAGACATGAAGGGAAGAAGACAATGGATTAGAGAGTCTGCTGAGACTACAGACTGGAGAAACAAAGAAAACCTCCATCTAGAGGGGTAGTAAAAAACCCTGCAGCATTTTAGAGTGAGACAAGGACAGAAAGTCTTAAAAGACTGTGCGCACGGGTCCTATACTCTGTACACACGCTATGGCCATAAGGACCGAACTCACCCAGGCTGAGTTGGACTGGTTCAGCTGGTTGAGCATGACTATGGAGGTGCAGCCGTAATCAAACACCAGTCTCCAGAAGTCTGCGGTGGTGCCCGGCAGAGGGTGTGGGGTCACTATGAAGGCTGCTGGCCGACGGAAGCTGTCGGTCAGTGCTGCGTTGATGTAGTTGTTGCTCTCTCCTTCTGTTGTGACCAGGAAGGCTAGGGCACGGTCTGGAGGCAGAACATCCATACTGCGGTTCTTCTCACGGTTCCGTGGCAACAGGGCGATGCTGCACTCCTCCACGTCCAGGTGAGGGGTCACTGAGTTCAGAGTCTGCACAAGAAACAGGCAGTGTTCACTTCAACTACTTCTGCATATTATAACAGAGACCAAACATCAATGAAAAACACTGCAAATACTTCATATGCAAACATATCACTGCACACAGTTAAATTCTTTATGGATAAGGCGAGTTTTTAAAACTATGATTCTGTTCATGGAACAATCTTGGACTTGGCAACCGCATTCAATTGTTAACAGTCTATATTGCGTCACAGTTTTTTTTTTTACTGAAATTATATTAGATTATTATTACGTTTAATTATTTATTGAGCACTGGTGTATTATATCGTATTGTATATTGACAGAACAACACAGCGGTGCCCTAACAATACCCCTTAACCATGATAAAATCAATGTAATGCAGGGCTTCTCATGACTTATTGCTTTATTGGATTATGCATGAATTCTCTTCATTATTAGTTCATAGACTCAACTTATCTGTGAATGACAGCTTGGTGTATTGCTTTAATAATACCAAGGGCTTCTTTCTGGGTGAAATACAAGTCTAAAATAAAATGGAAAAAGAAGGAAAAGGCAGAGGTGAGAGGACAGAAAAGGAAGCAAGAGAGATTAAGGTAGAGGAAAGGTTGAGATGTAGTGAAACAGACACAGGTAGGTAGCACAAACAAAGAGAAGAAACAGAGGAGTGAGATGAAAATGAGGGGATTATGATGATTTACACTTTACACAAGCAGCATTGTGCATCTGGCAACTGCGGATGGGGCCGTGCCGTGTGCTGACTGCAGCTTTTGGATTGGACTTTAAAAAGCATTTCATATCACTTGTGCACGCTGCTTCTGAAATTACTGAACAAAAACTAGAAATCAGGCCAGCCTCATACATAATGAATAGGCATGTTATGATCCCATCAAAAAAGTGCCATTAAAACAGGAATGTGGCATACCTACAGTCTTTTCTCTGACGGGTTGTGTGTGCAAATTTCTGCCTGCTGTTGATGCCGGGAAGGCAACACACTGGTCTCAAATGAATAGTGTAAATACATAAGAGAAATGGTAATAGAAAAGCTATTGACTGTAGTAATGTGTTTTCCTCCCTGCACAGCAAAAAGCACACACAGCGACTTAGAGTGACAAAAAAGATGCCGGCGTGAATGCCACAGAGATGGCTTTGGTGGATCAAAGCGTGCAAAAACATCCCGCTGTCAAACAGCAATCTGCCCTCTGTAATCCAAAGACATTCCCCTGCCTTATTTCTCCGCCTGAGCAAGACACCAGTGATAAATGCTCTATAATTCATATGGTGCATATTTTAAAGTGAGTCGCACTGTAAGAGTTAAATGGAGAGAAGGGAGAGGGGCGCTGATTTAGTGCCGCATTTCTTTGATATGCGAGCCTTTCCAATCGATATTGGGGCTCTTAACGGGCAGCCTGGAATTCTGCCTTGGATAAGATAACCTTTAAGTGCTAGCTTTATACTCTAAAGTGAGGCTTCTACACGTCACCAGATACCTTACACAAAGATTTGACCAGAATATGGCCCTCTGAAATGGAGAGAAATGGGCCACTGTGTCTAAAAAGGGCTATATGGTTCATCCAATATAAATGTAAATATCCTTGAATTAAAGCTGACATTCTGCACTTTAGCCTCATAGTCACGGTATCGTTTCAACTCCAGTGTGCTAGAGTAAAGAACCAAAATAACAAAAAAAATAAAAATTCAGTGACATATGGACTGAACTGTATGTGTGTGTTTGTGTGCCTTGATCAGATTTTATGGCAAAGCAAATGTAATACATCTTAATCATTATGATTCAGTGAATATATGATCACAGCTGTTTTGGATCTTCTCCTGGTAGCAAAATAGCTACTCTGTACGAGAGCCTGTGACGGTCTAATGAGGAAGACTTTTTGAAGATTTTTAAGTCCTAAATTATGATTCATTTATTTCTTTCATGAATCATTTCACTGATTGATGTATGCATCTGTGTGATTACTCTGTATGATTTCGCCTATGAGATATGAATAATCCTGGTCTGGAAAGAACTCTCTCTCTCTCCACTTCATATGAGCACTGTTTATGGTGACCCTGAAGCCTTTGTTAACTATCCCAGTGTGCCACTAACACAGTGGCGTTAGTGAACAGCCAGCAAATAGATTCAATGTAGTGTAGATATAGTAAAGCATATCATGTCTTGTTCTAATATGGTTATGACAGCATTGTCATGTAGATTCGAAAGGTTCAGTACAAGATACATGGTGTGCTCAAATGTTACTGGCTTAAGCATTAATGTGTGATGGTCTGAAGAACTGACACAAAAGGCATTAATTTTGGGGATATGGGAATCAAGCTCACAATATACATCCCAAAACAACATGCATTATAAATATATAAAGATATTATTAAATAAGTACATAAATAAGCTAGTAGTCCCCCAATGTAGTTACAAATGTCCTCTGTACAGACCACATTTTTGGTGAAGTGCAATTATTCAATTCATTTCAATCTCGAATGAGCAAACTGAGGCCAAAAGTGGCAAGAAAAATGTGGAAGAAATGTATGTGGAAGAAACTTTGAGAACTCAAAAAGAAAACCATCCTCCACTGTGTGCCACAGGACCATGAATGTATAGTCACTGTCTATAGTTATCTACTGACCAAATATATGAACTGGATCATGCAAATTATAATTGAATAATGTTTCCCTTAATTAGCATGTGAAATGTACGAATAAGACTGCTGTATGAAAGCTACTCCTATTTAAAATGCTCAAAGCACCTCCAGGGAATGTCTTCACTGATGCATTTTAATGGGAGTGGTTTTAACCTTAAACGGCAATAAGCGAGTGTGTGAATATGATAATCCTGTATTTTCTCCATGTCCTTGCGATGCTAAGCTCAGGTGACATTTACTAACCAATGCAAGCATTAAGGCTCTGAGGAGCAGTCTACACATGATCGACAAATCCCACTTTGATTGCTTTTGATAAAGACCATCATGCAGGGTATTTGCCTGAAGATGTGTGTAACTATAGATTGATATACAAATACAAAATAGACTGGTATACCCTTGATGTGACATGGTTAAAAGATCGGTCTGCATTACATTGACCACGATTATTTATGTTTGCTAGATCATGTGAATGTCATGACCGCTCAGTCCTCTGAAAAACTACATTTTGCACAATCCCCAGCCAGAAAAGCCTGATTACTGAATGGTTACTCTCATTTTCCCTTCACTCAGTCTCTGCAAAGTCTTGTATGTGTTTTCCTGTGTGTTGCTGAGTCACTTGTATGACCTCTGTTCTTACTAGGCATATGAACTTTATTTAGTGACCTGGTTTTCCTTTTTTGGCTCACATTATTATCTCAGTATGTATGGTTGGTCTGCTTGCCTCCTGTTTTGACCTTGTTTCCTTTTTTTACTCTTTTGATTCATGTTTTTGAACATGTATTTTGCCAATAAACGTTTTTTTAATCCTGCATTCAGCTTCACTCTGTTTAACTGAAGTCTGACACCGGATGTCATGATTCGTCAAAACACTGAAAGAACAGACATGGTGCTGTACAATGGCCAGTTTCCCTCTAGGTAAAGTAAAACCAGATTCTATTCTTGCAAGCCAGACTTCTGAGTATCCTCCAAGAGTCTTGTGGTTTTATCACTCAACATGGCCAAAATCGCCTACTTTGACTTGAGCAGGCCGTATAACTGCCATGCAAAACTACTAACCACAGACCTTTATTTTAGCTTAATGTGTCAAGGCAGGTAAGTGTTTCAAACAAATGGCATCACTTTTTTTAATGCAGCAGCTACATCATGCTCTGGAATGCTCATTGTTGTCATATTGTGTAGAGCAGGCAAGTGCTTACTACTGGTGACAAGCTAGCATTTAGTTTGATAAACAATACTGTAACATGATATCTTGGCAAGCCAAATCATTTTAAATCTAGTCAATATCTAATATTTCTCATTTTGAAATTGTTGTAAAATATTTTAAGATGTTTAACTTACTTCTAAATGTTTTTTACTTGTTTTAAGTAATTTTGACAGTCACACTGCCATTCCGTTGGCAGATAACTGTGTTTTTTCAAGATAGAAGTGTCAATAGAAGTGTAACTGGAACAATACTGATAATTGTGGCCATCTTAGTGTATGATAAATATCAGACAGTCCATGTATCTCTCTAGGCAGAGCATCTAAGGCTGATACTAAGATCAGACTCACACTGATATATACAGTACAGGTCAAGAGTGACTGTGTGTAAGGCAAGAGGCTGACCTGAAACTCTTCTCGGAGCTGCGAGGAATTGCTCTGAGAATCAACTCTCAGCATATCCTTATAGGTGAGAGCAAACTCGTTCACTGGTATAGCTGTCTCCCCGCACAGGCACGCTTCCAGGATGGCATCATGAATGAATATGTACTGCTCCTGCAGCGGAAGAGAAAACAGGGGGGATTAAAGAGAGAGAGAGAGAGAGAGAGAGAGAGGGGAGAGAAAACTGCATGCAAGTTATTGTGTGATTAAATGTAATAAAGGCTGGGGGACAGAATTGGTCTAACCTGCCCTGATCTAAATTAAACATTTGCTATAACGCACAGCATTTCAAAGTGCACAGCGTGTGAACATAACTAGCTCTAAACAAACAAATACTTGCAGGATAGATTTAATTAAAGCATCTAGTAAACAATTACAAATGTAATAAACAGCCAAATGAATGTCGGATTTACATAATAAAGTTTGGATATGCAAATAGAGGGAGATCTAAAGAGAGGCACACGCCTACACAAAGCAGAGAGATGGTGAAGATCTTTATCAGTGGGCTTGTGCACACAGTTATCTTTAAAACACACTCCCAGGCTTAAAACTCTGAATATTCATATCTCTCCCACCAAATATATGACTATGTAAACAAAGGGAACTTTTTTTCCCTCTCTTTGCTTTTTCTCTGCCCTGAACTGTAAATTTCCCACCTCAGTCTGGATCATGTTGATACGGCGTGAGCAGAGAGTCTTCACGCAATTGTAGATGTCCACCACTCCCTCACACTCTGCCATGTCCAACATAACGTCCAGCACAATGTAGCAGCCAGTCCTGCCAGCCCCCATACTGCAGCACACACAGGCCACGAACACACACACAGGTGTTTATTCTCTGACCTCACACCGATTCAGTGTGATTGTGATGTTTTAAGAAATTATTCAAAATGCTTAACAGACAGGTGATACAGTTTAACAGTAAAAGAAGAAATTAAAGCTGAGTTTGATTTTCTTCTATTATAGTTACTGTTCGGTAATCGCAATGGGGGGGGCAATACATGTAAGTTAGGAGAATTCATTTAAAATCATACAAGGCAATGATATACGTAAAAAAGATAAATACAAAAACAGATGGATAAATTTAAATGTAAAAGCTAAATTAAAGAGATACAATTTCAGATGTTTCTTAAAAGTGTCTAATAAAAGATGAAGTTGCATTCCACAGTTTAGACGTACAATAACAGAAAGAGGCTTCTGCATATTTTCTATCCCTCATAGAATATTTCTCTGAATTTTAGTACCAAGTATCAGCATTTCAGTATTTCAATATTTTTTTCTTGATTTAGTTCTAAGAAATATCTGACACAAAGCTGGTAAGTTTGTCCACAGAGTCTTGATTTTCAGAGGAAACTGAAATGTATATTTACGTGTCAGGATAGCTATAAAAAATTCATATAATAATTCTTAACGATATCATCTAGAGGTAACATGTATAAAGAGAAAAGCAAAGGCCCTAAAACTGAACCTTGTGGGATGATCGGTTCTAACATTTCAATTTCGATGCAGTTGAATTGCCACCTGTAGATTGCTGCATCATAAAGCACTGATGCATGGTAATACATGATAATACAGTGTGACGGTAGTGGAACAATTGCAAACCAGATATTCCATGTATTTGAATGGAATTGTGACGGACAATCCTGTCAATGCCAGCAGCGACAGCAGTGTACTGCAACTCTCAGGCCAATGTTCCATCCATAGTTTAATCTCCAAACTTTTGCAGTGGAATAAATTAGATGTTGATTTTTTTTAGAAATATGGATGCTGAATGTTCATAGCTCGAGCCCCACTGAAAACACTCATGTACAGCAAAACTAAACTTCACTGGAAATACATCATTAGAAACATGAACCATGTTCAAAACACTTTTTAGGGTTAAAACAATGGCTAACACCATCACTACAACGAAGAACAATGTTTTTCAAATGGGTTGTGTACCTGCAGTGGACCACCACAGGTCCAGCATCGGCTGGTGTGGAGGTTTTTACCCGGCGGATGAAGGCCAGCAGACCTGTGGCGTGGTACGGCACTCCATGCTCAGGCCACGATGTAAAATGGAACTGCCGCACCTCATGCTTAGCTGAGTAACCCCTCTGCAAAACACACATTAAAACACTGCTGGAGATATACAGTAGGCAGTGCATCATTCATAATCTTTAATTAGGTTATACAACTAGAACGCTAACTTCTGCTCCCAAGATTTATTAGATTTACTGATACATAATAAATCTTTTAGGCTCTAGTACGTGTATGTGATGAAATTAGGAAGGTGTGTACAAAAAAGAGACCTAACAAAAAAACACTCAATCTGATAAGCAATGTTTATAACCTAATATTAGATCATATTTTATTAAACTCTACCTTATATTCTAGTATTTACCACCTTTTGTTGTCATTATTTTTTGAGAACAAGCAGTAAGGCTGCCTGACAAAAAATGTGATGTGTGATAAAGCTGTTGGACATTGCAATGACAGTGTGGAATACATTATCATTAAAGTCCACTATATGGACAAAAGTATTGGGACACCTACACATTACACCTACAGGAGCTTTTATGACATCCTGTTCTAAATCCATAGGCATTAATATGCAGTTGGTCCCCCATTTTCAGCTATAACAGCTTCCCCTCTTCTGCGAAGCCTTCTACGATTTCTCTAAGATTTTGAAGTGTATCTGTGGGAATTTTTGCCCATTCATACAGAAGAGCATTTGTGAGGTCAGACACTCATGTTGGACGACAGGGCCTGGCTCGAAATCTCTTTTCCAGTTCATCCCAAAGGTGTTCGATGGGGTTGAGGTCAGGGATCTGTGCGGGCCAGTCAAGTTCTTCCTCACACCGCCATGCCCTTATGGAGCTTGCTTTGTGCACTGGGGCTCAGTCATGTTGGAACAGAAAAGGTTCTTCCCCAAACTATTCCCACAAAGTTGGAAGTAAGGTAATGTTCTCCTGGCATTCACCAAACCAAGACTTGTCCAGCAGACTGGCAGATAGAGAAGTATGATTCGTCACTCCACAGAATACATCGGTGGCGTGCTTTATACGACTCCCCTCCCCGCCTTTGGCATTGTGCATTTTGATCCTAGGCTTGTGTGTAGCTGCTCGGCCATGGAAACCCATTTTGTGAAGCTCCTAATGGGCAGTTCTTCTGCTGATGTTGCTTCCAGGGGTAATCTGGAACTTTTTAGTGAGTGATTCAGCAGAGGATGGGCACTTTGCGCTTCACCACTCGGTGGCCCTGCTCTGTGAGTTTACGTGGTCTACTGCTTCGTGGCTAAGCTGTTGTTGCTCCAAGGTGCCTCCATTTCACAACAATAGCAGTTGACAGGGGCAGATCTAGCAGGACAGAAATTTCACAAACTGACTTTTGGCAGAGGTGGTATCCCATGACAGTGCTAAAACACCTGAACTCAGTAATCAGGAGGTGTGTCCCAATACCTTTGTCTATATAATGTAACTCTGACCAGATGTGCAGCAAGTACAGACCTGTGTAATGAAACCAAAACACAGTGCCAATAACTATTTGGACACTAGTGCCATACTTAAAAATGTTTAGAGTTAATTGTGTGAGAAAAAAAATCTTAAATCAAGCTGCATATATTTTAAACAAGACTGTAATTTTCTATTCAGTAAATTGTTCTTTTATAAGGCAGCAGGTATGTTTCAGATTGTTATTGTTTGAGCAGTTCCTCAGCAGACGTCTGCAAGTTCACAGCCAAAATACCTTTGTACACTTCTGAGCTCATGTTTCCATCAACAAACACAAGCTCACTAACACCACTGAAAGAAAAACAGCCTGGTTGGAATTCTTCTCCAGGCCTAACTTCTCCATGCTAATGTAGTGGGAATAAAAGATCTATTGAAGAGATTTTTTTATGGGTAGTTATGGGTGTCCTAAAGCGCTGTCCAGAATTTAACAGCTCAAACTCAATTTGAAGGGGACAGTTTGTGTCAAGCTCTACAGCAAGAGTTTTCCTATGTACCACAGCTCTATAAAGCAACACTCATTTTCACAAGATAGTAGCCTGTTTTAACTGGGTTATCGCGATTAGGGCTGACCCGGATAGCATTTTACAGGCTTCAAATACTTGTTCTCAAAATCAGCCTTAAAACAATAATATTTATATTTCATAATTTACTGTAATTTTAAGTATGTTAATTATTGCAGTACTAAGCTAAGTCAGCTGATGCCCAGCTGTTCAGGCGCAGTTTGTTGCTGTGATAGAGTGTGATTGTAGCCCTCTCATTCAAATCCAGCATTTATGAGTCATTTCTATCATTTGCATAGCATTTCTGAGCATTTCATGAATATAGGTGTTAAGGGTTTAACACATTAGAATAACTGTTTTACTTTTAATAGTTTAGTTTTAGGTTTAGTTAGCTTTAGGTTTTTTTTCGTTTCATTCATTATTTTATTTATTTTATCAAGATTTTCTATTTGGTATACCATTTACCACTGCCATTTTCCAGCAGTGAGGGCAACATACAGGCTGAGTTGAGCTCAGCCATAAGAAGAGAGTGAAGGGGAGGAATGAGGAGTTGTTGAAGCTGATGTGAAGAGGATCACCCTGGAAGCGGCTTTGCAGGTAAACTGCTCAGCTGGTGCACCGAGAAGTACCAAGCTTAGAGGACACTAGAGTCTCCCAACATTGTCTCAATTACCAGAGAATCAACTGACCTGAAATCAGCTGTGGTATCTCATCGGCATCGCTATACTTACATATTTGAGATGCTCAAACTTGCTGTGCCTTCATGGTATACCAACTTCTTATCACAAATATTTACCAAGCGTTTTTCTAATTGTCTGATAATTTACAATGATTTCTTTGCTCTTTTACCTCCAGTGACCACATGGAAAGCAATGGTTTATTGTGCTCTGAGGCGAGGTGACATGCATGCCTGGCATCAAGTTTAATGTAATATGTAAGCACTGTTAAAGTTTCACAATGTACCATTCACTCCCCAGCACACATGTGGAAACTGTTTCAAAAACAGCTTCTTTTGAGTTTATTGTTTTTGTGATGTCATACATCCACCTTTTTAGCCTCCAACAGTTTATCCTCGCCTATTTACACTGAAGTTACAAGGAGTGTTTCAGTCTAGACTGCGTTTTGAATAAGGCACAATACAGGGTAGCCAGTCAGCTCTGATATAATTACATATACCTTTACATGTGTCTTAACGGCACAGTGACAAAAACAGCATGCTTAATCCTAATGGATAAAGAGAGGCTGGAAAATGGTCATGTAAATATTAATCATAACTGGTTTGGGTGCATATAACAAAACAAACATTATTGTGCATAAATTGACCTCATGGAAAGGAGTAAAATACAACAAAAATGTAGAATTGGGCCCTTTAAAATTTTCCATATATTAACTATTGTTCTATTTTAAAAAGACTACACTTCTGAATACTAAATAGAGAAATAAAGACCAACATAACAAATGTGCACTCAAGTATTCAACTTATTCAGACCAGTTCTAATCATGATGATGATAAACATAGGCTTCACCGTGCATTGTTCAGTGTTCAGAGAAGAAAGAAGGTCAAGGTCATTTGGTTATGTTTTGGGAAAAGAGATACAAACACAGAGAAAAAGTACAGAAGAAGAAGGCGAGAGCTGATAACCATTTTCTATTTCTGCTGTAAACCTGATGCATTAGCACAAGCAGTAATGTGACAGAGATGGTTCGGAGATTTACTGGGCGGTTCAGCTCAGGAGAAGCTTGTTTCTCTCTGTATGTGTGTGTGTGTGTGTGTGTGTGTGTGTGTGTGTGTGGGTGTCTGTGTGTGTGTGTGTGTGTGAGTCACTACTGTCAGCAGCGGTTGCCACTGCCCGCCTATTTGAATAAGCACAGGAGTGCTCCTGCAGTGAGTGTGTCTGACAGTGATGCAGTAATGCCCTGTTTGTGCTGCTGTCACACACACACATACACACACCCACACCCCCTCTGTCCCTGGCTTTGACTGACAGACGGACCCACCGCGCTGCTAAAGCACACATCAAAGCCCTCCGTGAGTGCCGTACACAGAAGCAGCAGCAGTGAGAAGAGACAGAGAGGGAGAGAGAAAGATAGACGAAGGCTAAAGCCAGTTAATTCCTCTGTATTCACTCCTATCCAGTCCACGTGTCCTGCTTTAGCCACACTTTAGACAGATACAGCACACTACGGAGGAGGCTTGGGTTAGCAGCCTCGGCGGTACAAGTAGTATAAGTTTTAAATAGTATATGTTTTTATGTTTATATGTGTCTCTGCTGGGGTCTTGGGATAGCTGTGCTGTTGCCAAAAGGAAAATTACAATATAAAGACCATAAAGATTTAGTAATATTTAATAAAAATTCAATGTTTACTGACCTCCTGCACATTCAATGCTTCTGAACTATAACTAATAGAAGGCTGCAGTTACTTTAGTACTTCTTTAGTTACAAAAATGTATTTATTCTGCTATTATTGTAGCTGGAGCAATACATATACATACAATATTCATATTATTTTTAAAATGACATTAAAGACTACTTCATTTATATCACATGTAAATATCTTAGGGTAGTCGAACAATTAAACAAATGAATCATGATTAATCACAATATTTCTACAGTTAATTATGATTAATCACTTCCGTCCCATTTGCTCAAATTTGTGCCAAAGGAAAGTATTTTCCATGTAAAAAGGAGCTAATTTTGTTATAGCTATATGAGTGGACCAAATAAGATTAATCTGAATGTATTCATTAATATCAAAATTTCATAATGTCAATAATTCATTAACATTATTCTCATCCTGTGATCACCCATCTAACTGAACATAAAAGTATGTGAGTCCATAGATTTTCCAATTCTCATCACAGACATCCAATGAGAGCAGCAGTGGCTGCATGTTTCAACCAATGATAGTCAATAAAAATACACATACAGTCTATGGTTTCCCTACTCAGTGACTGTAGTCTCTCACTATTGTTCTTATCCATACAGCTTGTGGATCTTTGTTACAGAACAGGCTTTCAGTGGGAGCTGTAGATCTTTACTTTGCTACTGCTTTTGTCAGTTGTTGAATTATCCATAGGTCTCCCACGGGCACTGTCTACTGTAGTCTACACAAGATGCTGAAAGTACTGCTTTAAAAGCCATTCAGAATGCTGTATTTGAAGAAGAGGGCTACAATCATGGATTCTGTCGTAACATACAGTGTGTGAGCAGCTGGGCTCCAGTCTGCACTTCAACAGTATTGTTTAAGTCTACAATAATTCTTGTAAATTCTGTAAATTTCTATAATCTGCATATTATGCATATTCATTTTTGTTGCTACTGTATCCCTGCAATGTTCTTCTGGATTAATAAAATAAACAAACTTACCTACTTTCTTTCTATCCATCTATCTATCCATCTATCTATCTATCTATCTATCTATAATATAGATGTTGTACTGTATATATATTTCGGCATATATATTTTAAAGAACAACAGTAGTTTATTCAATACCTCAAGACAACCAGTGTCAAAAAGTTAAAGAGAGATTAGGAGATAAAGGAGACTGTAACTAGGAGAGCACAAGTGCAAGCAGGGACAGGGCATTTCCCACTGGAAACTGTTCCTACTTGCTCCTTACAGTGTTAGTTAACATATCTATATACTATGGACTGTTTCCATGATATTATACATTTTTAATCCTATTCCATTTCCCTGACTCACTAATGGTCTCACAGATCTATGTGGTGTTATCCTCTGAGAGTGGAAGGTTGTCAAGGGTGAAGCAGTTTTTTCTCATACACACTCGGATGCTATACAGAGGCTGCATCATTAGCGAGTTTCAAAGTGAAGATGTCAAAGGACTGTGGCTGCAACAGTGACCCCATGAGACTCAGTGTAAGAGCAATGCTACAGTTTCTTACCCTCTCTAAGGAGAAGGTGCGCACTGTGTATTCTGCCAGCGTTTCTGTCTTCAGCAGGCTGATCTTGATGTCTCCGTACATCTCTGTGTCATCAGGCCAGTACTTACAGCACTTCACCTGCACATACACACAGCACAAATACATCAGACGGGCTCCAATGCTGCCAGCACAGACACATCCAGTAATTAAGAGTGGACACTGCACCTAGAGGAAAATGGAGACCTAGACAAGTTTAACTTTAGCTTAACCCTTAGAAGTCAAGATACATTGGATGTCCTGTTCTTATTAAATGTTATTACTAAATTAATTACCTAGTTAGGTAATGAGTTACATTTACAATCAATTGACATTCTGTATTGGCAGGTTTGAATCTGCACTTTTACCTTATTTTGGTTGTTTCAATGCCAACAAAAGACAAAAGCATGGCACAATATTTTATATCGGCACAAAAAAACAATGCACAACAATACCTTTTCATAAAATTCAAATCCTTTTAGCCTCTTCTTTTTATCTCCTCTTATACTTATGAAATCAAATCTAAATTAATTTACAATTCAGTAATTCAACACAATTTCTCTGCTTGTCTGGGCTACAAACGAGAAAAAATTCACATGAAACAGCATTGTCATCACCAGCTATAACTGTGAGTCCTCTGCACACTGTATGGAATTCTCTCTTCTAGGCATAACAGCCTAAACCTGGTACTAAGTATATCCCTAACACTGTTGGGAATCAACTGATTTTCAACAGACATCTATAGATAATATATTGGGGCAGTCCAAATAATATCTAAATTTAACTTTTATTTTAAACCACTGGACTGCATGGTCATTATGGCCTTCCAGTCAAAGACATATGTATAGCATTACGTAACAAACTCAACCATTTTTTTCTTGCGGCCATAACAACTACAATAAGTGTCACATCTTGCATTAGGCTTCAGGCATCACCCATTTAGCACTGGCTTTCACAGCTTTCACAGCTTTCACAGCTACCCAGCGAAATGCATTCAGCATAATAGAACGACAATTTCATAATAACTCTGGACTAGTGTTTAAGAGTGTGATGCCAGCAGCAGATCCCACCCCTAGCTGACTGATCTGTTTGTGCTGGAGGTAATGGAAGAGCATTGTGAGCGAGAAACACTGAGACATAATAAATAAATAATAATGTCAAATGCATTGTATGAGGCTGGCCATGAACACACAGGAGATGCTGTTGGAATTGAAGATGTAATAGCTATTGTTTGGTAAACAAAACATCATTATGGCACCAATCAATCTCATCATTTTATCTCATCAACTAAACACAGACAAACAAAGGCAAACACCCACAGGACATACACACAGTACAACAGTGGACAGTTAGAGTTTAGAAACATTAGATGGACTGTACCCTGCCAACCTCCACAAGCTTGGTGATCATAACGATGCTGAAGCAGTTCTCCTGCCACACCATCCTCCAGAAATCATACACTGTCTCCTGCTTAGGCCCTGCACACACACACAGAACACACACACATATAAATGGGAGTAATTCAGTGTCAATCAGTCACAGACAGCAGGTTTCGTTTCTACAGTGTCATTGTGTGTTATGAGGCAATTCTGTAATTCAGAGCTTCAGAGAGAGTAACTCAATAGCAGCTGCTTCTGCTGACTGGAGAACGGTTTGGATGTGGCCTGCTACGAGAGAAAGCAAAATTTCCCCCCACCAAGTGAGTGAGCTTTGAAATTCAATAGGGGGAAGACACACATACGCCACCCACAGACAATGATTTATTTAAGGGAATTCTGAAATATAAGGAGAGGAAAGGGAGGGGGACCTTGAATGACTTTGATCAAATGGCTGAGAGACCTGAGACACTTGAGGGGGGCTGGAGTAAGTCTCTCTCTCTCTTTCTCTCTCTCTCTCTCTTACCCACACCAACACATACAAAAACACTGCAGACATTTGTGTTTTATATCTTGTCAGGTCACGGCATCATGCACATGTACTGTAAGTATTGTATACAGTACACAGTTGAATGCAAAAGTTTTGGCACCCCCGGTCAGATTACAGGTTTTGTAGGTGAAAAATACTTTTCTGCACATTTTAATGCATTTTTACTGTATCTTTCCTCAATTTAACACATTGGGGAAACATAAAACATAACATAAAATGTGGCCTGTGCAAAAGTTAGGGCACAATTTTTATTTTTTTATTTAAATTTAATTTATATTTCCAACTCTAAAATTTGCAGAAAAACTTGTCCCTTGTAGAGGATGTATTAACTTGTTTCTACTTAGAAAAAAAATAAGTGTAAGTGTAAAAATAAGTGTAACAGTTGAAAAATGTATAATTTGTTGTAATACAATAATTGGTTGTGAAGCATTCTACCCATGCAGTTATTTGTGATAACACCCTGTGTTTTGCCATAATAACGATCATTCCGTCAAGCACCAGTTTCTAACTAATGACTGACTTTATTCTACAGTTAACCAATACTATGTCTCCACTTTAGCACATTTAAAATGGAAAACATATATTAGATAGATAGATATATTCGATTATTCAAGATATAATTTGACCTGTAGTCTATATGGTCAGATCTGGAAGAAGAGTATGACAGCAGGACATCATATTTCAAACCTGTCCTTGACCTACGCAAGCTCTTCAGTTGGCAGCTGTAGTGGCAGGACAACTAAACAAACTGGAATTTGCCAGGAAGAAAACTAGAATAAAATTCAGCAAATAAGATGCAATGCTTTATAGACTAGCTGGAACAAAACAACATTCAGGCTAATCTTGCATGTACTGAAAAAGCTGAGCTGAACCTGATACTGTTTTAAGGCTCTATCTGTAATGAAAGGTCTCTCATTCTTTTAGGGGAGGGAATTGCTAATACAGAAGCACATTTGACAGAATATCCAGGGCCTTTTTGTTTCACTTTTTCCTTGCTTTTGCAAAACTGTTGAGAAAAAAACAATAGAACTTTTAAGGTTATGTGTTATTGTGATATAATCAGTGTATATTTACTGAATCACAGCCATAATGTTACTCGCGATGGCGCCTTCCTGCTCATGTTTTATCACTTACAAACGACACAATACAATAAGTTACATAAATTACCTTTCATACCAAATCTTTCTGCCTTTGTGGTTTTAATAAATGAAATATATAGCTTTTGTTAAAAGCGTGTTACTATTTTGCTGGTTCTGACGTTGAAGGTTAGCCCACACACACACACGCACACAGTCACACACACACACCTAGGGTCTTGTTCATTGTTCAGAGGGCTCACAGGTGTTGTGGTGGGGTGGGTGAAATGTTGGGAGGTCAGGTATGAAGACAGCAGGCAGTAATCCTTCGCTCTGCAGGACTACTACTCTTCACACTGCCCTACAAACTGTTTACAGCTAAAATTATCACTGCTCACAAACCATTAGCTTCAGTCAGAATGTGTGTCCTCCATACCTCGTTCATTTCTCTCTCTCTCTCTCTCTCTCTCTCTCTCTCTCACACACACACACACACATATACACACACACAAACACTCTAATGAGGTGTTTGAGGAAGACTTACTCTGACCCCATGGGTTCTCATCTTGCTGGACACACACAAACACACACACACACAGACTGTGGCACTCCAGCGAGGGGCATGCAGAGATACTCACCCTGTGTGGCGATGAAGTGGTTGGATCGATGGTAGCCCTGAAAGACAGGCAAGAGAGGACATGCTGAGTAAGCCATCTGTGCCTTGGGCACAGCCAGATGAGCATCTCTCTCTCTCTCCCCGCCTTCGCTCTGTCACTTCCACTCTCTACTTCCTTCCCACCAGTGCTCTCTCTTTCACTCTGCTTTCCTTCTTCATTTCTCAAACTCTCTCTCTCTAAACCTCATTTAACTGCTAATCATTACATGCCTGTAGAGGACTAGAGGGATCTGTCCTCTCTAATGAACATCTAGATTTGCTAAATATTTCAACAGTTATAGTGTAACCATTTCAATAAAGTATTGAAAAAATGGAAAAAAATGTTTAAAATATCAAAAATGAAATCAACAATACAGTTCAAAATCAACAATACAGTTCAAAATCAAACTGTTCAAAATTTTGAACTGTAGTGTTGATGCACTTTGTGGCCTCTTTTGAGGTTCTCCCCTTTACCATCTTTTGTGGAAATCTGGGTATGTCCTGTCAGAGTAAAGTGGGAGAGGAGGGGGGAGAGGTTTATACTCTGCATGTGTGCTCAAATGACTTTTTTTGAAGCCACTTATAAACTGTAAGCGTTGTGATTTTTGTGGCTTGTTTTGTTAAGAGGGTCGTATGGCAGGCACTGAAAAAGTTTTGCTATTGAAAATTGCTTCAAACCTGAAAATATGTGTATTGTTACACCCTCTGTTCTACATGGAGGCCAATATATTTTTTGACAATTACTGGAAAAAGTCATTATTACCACTGAACCGATATTGGAATTACAGCTGATAGTTACAACCAATAACTTGGTGTTCCATATTTCCTTGCCCATGCACTGATGCCCATATAGTCACTAGTGATGTGCATTTCCATCTTTATAAATATTCCTTTATTATTTACTAGTTGCATTGAATAACAACACAGCTTCACACTGGAAGACTAATGGTTCCTTGTCCCTGCAGGAATGCTGTACCTAAAAGAGTCCTTGGGCTAGCCACCTAATGTTACATTCACAGACCATTGTAGGTGGATAAGCATGTTAACTGTCATTTAGCTGTAATTTAGCTGTGTCAGGTTATGCAAAATTAACAGACTATCTAACATCAGATTTTAACCCTATACTGACCGCACTATTGCACTTCCTATATGGATTGCAATGTAACTAATTGGTAACAGTAATTGATATCAACTACAAGGTGGTAATTATCAATTATCTTTGTTGGCCTAGAAATTCCATATTAGTGCATCCCTTTGTTTTGATGGTGACCACACTATTTTTGACTAGGCCAATGCATGATGCACCCTAAAGTCACTGTGACCTTAGCGTTCTGCAAAATCCTTTTACTTGTTCTCCTGACAAATAAATCCAGGCCCTGCACTACTGTCAAACACTTCTCTCCAAACAAGCACAAGCCTCCAAAATATCTTAACATGTCTAGATCAGGAATATCTACACTCACTTATGCAGCACAGTGCTATGTTTGGCACTGGTGGAGAGGGAGAGTCACTTGAGGCGTGCTGTGTGTTGCAAAGCATGCAATTCATTCATCAAAGACAGCCTTTTGTCATCGAGCTATCTGGAGATGCTGCGGCAAATTGGATCTGTTTTCATTAAACAGACAATAGCGAAAATAATGGAGACATGACTTTCGTTGTTGCTGCTGCATTTAGGAACACTGAAAATGCCTCCTTTATAGATCATCTCAAAGTCAAACCATTTTTCATACACATACTCAAACAGACACGAAACAGAGGCAACGGTACAAAGAAAGTGAGATTCTTGCAGGGAGATCCCAAAGTTTTTCCCTTGGCAAAACAAACCATCAGATCAAGTTTGAGGAGCTCGGAGGTAGCAGAGCAGCTACGTGCAGCAACTTTGAGATTATGTCTGACTGAGCAGCGGGCTTTTTGTCTCGCTTTGAAATGCGCACTAAGTGGAGTGGGACTATGAGGCTCTTATTTTCTGGTTGATGTTAGTGCAAACAAAGTGGTCCTGATGTAGAAGCCGCCAGCTCTCGTGGACTTTATGTGGAAGCTGACACACTGCAAGAACAAACCGAAAACCATAGAAGACGCTTTGACACCGATTTGAGGTTCGAACTGTCCTGACTCTCATGCTGAATTTACCTCATTCTATGTCAGTAAAGCTAAAAACAAGAGCTCCAGTGTTCAGAGATTTAACAGCACTAGATTTCTCCTTGACTACCACCTTTCAATCCTAATAACTGCTGTTAAGCGGCAAAGCCGGAATAGCTAGGAGGAAAGCGCCATTCCCCAGATTCCGACTGAATAATGCCCAGCAGCACACAGAAGCTTAACAGGATTCAAAGTGAAAAGACACAATGGTCCTCTTAGAAAAGTTCTAAGTTTTTGACACACTATTAGACACAGTGCTTTACCAAACAAAGTCCTGTCTCCTGTGAATGTGCTTAATAAATGGATTAAACTTTACATAAAACTGCTTCGTATTATGAACACCACCGGTCAAAAGTTTGGACTCACTAGACTGTATTGTATGCTTTTCAAGGCTTATGCTTAAATGCTTGAATTTTGTTGAATTATACTGAATTGCTTGAATTAGGTATGAATGCAAAATGTACTTTTATGGAGCCAACAAGTGCTCAGGATCTTCCAGCCTTTTCAAGAAGCATCTCAGGTGGCTCCTGAAGCTTCTTAGGAGATTACCAAAAGTGTGTAAAGGTGCATCAAGACATAAGAGGGATACTTCAAAGAATCTAAGACATACGTGGTGGTCTGCAGAAATCTGTCGGATACTCCAGACAGTTTCTTGAACCTTGGACAGTATGGAGCAGGTTTTGCTCAGCATTTTACATTGAAGAGAGAGGCAGTTCCAACTTTATTAGCTTCACAACCCTAACAACAACCTGTAAGTAGCAGCCATGCTGTGAGTTTTTCCACTTTTTTGACAGTTAAAGCTAGATCATCTTAAACTGAAACATTCATAGTGAACTAACAACTTTAATTTACCTTGCATTGTTGTCGAGATCAAAAGCAAGTAGCTAGTATAGGTAACACTAGCTACTAGCAAGCTCCAAGTAACTAGTACAGTTAACTATATAGTATAACGATCTAGCTTATTTACACTGAGTTTCATTTTAGTTTCCTGCCTGTGTTCATTTCGACATGTTGCTTTTGTGTGAGCCATTGTGGTGACTCACTGTAAATCAGTAAATCAGAGCAGAGCTCAGTAAATAATTCTTATACCACTTAGGCATGTAAAACCGCATCTGGGTATTTTTTGTCCCAGCCAAAGTCACATACCTTTAATGTGATTTTCTCAGTTTTGGCTTTTTTTCTTTTAAATGTCTCACGTTTTAAACGCGACTCTTGTGAGAGTCTAAAATGTCAAAATTTTGCCATGTGAAGGGTTTCTGCAGACCACCACACGCTAGTTGTGACTTATTTAACACTTTCTGGTAATTCCATATTTTATTTTAAATTTAGGGTGTCATCACTATCACAAGGGTAACTAAAACAGAGGGGTGTTAAACTGAGTTCCTTCCAGGTCACAGCTCCATTAGTTTAGTGTTCTGCCTCGTTAATCACACCTGATTTAACTCTTCAGCTAATTAGCACAGCCTTAATGAGAACTTGGAGTGTTAGAAGAGGGAAATCTTTATCTACGCAGAGCTGTGGAAGAGCCAGAAATATTCCAGCTTGACACCACCTAGTCTAAAACATGGAAAACAGTAAAAATAAGAAAAATGTCTAAATAGATGATTTGTACTGTCGTTTTGAATCTTTATCTGAAGAACATTCATTTGGCAGCTCATTAAACATGTTTCTATATCTATATATAGTTAATGTACATATGAAACAAATACAGAAAACATCATTATTTAAATTTGTAAAAGAAAACAAAAACCTTCTGCTCCTGTGTGTGCCTTATGGCTATATGACTCAAGCATTTCATTTTGACTTTCTATGGCAGAAATCCTTTTTTTTTCAAAGAATTTGTGCATTGCAAACTGAGATTATGAGGTTTATGGAACTAAGTCAATATACAAAGGTTATCTTCTGTTTTATTTATCCACCTTCAGAAATTCTGCAAGGAGAGTATGTTAGGAAGAGACATTTGAGGACAGCTGCGTGATCTGTCTGTCAGTTGTTCACACTGTAAAGGCTAGATTGCACATGATAAAGCTTGGGTGCAGAACAGATGGAGTCCAGGAGCTTGTGCTCCTCGGGAGGTGGACACAGGAGTGGAAAGACAACAAGGAAAGCACAGTGTGAGCACAGTGTGAGCAATGTTTCACATTATTTACTAGCGTCACCTCACACAAATAGAGTGCTGTGGGGTTGAGAGGAAGAGATAGGGGGAAATGGAGGAGAGAAGAAAGAGAGAAGAAAGAGCAGCGAAGTACTTACTTCCCTGTTTATCCGAATCTACAGGGTCCAAAGTCGTAGAGGTGGGGAGGGGGGTAGAAAAAGAGAAGACAGAGGCTAGTTAATGAGAAGCTGAAAGAGCTGTGGGAGCAGGAGGATTGACAGATTACACAAAGAAAGCTGAATAGAGACAGAAATGGGGAGAAAGAGAGAAACAGAGAGAGAGGGAGGAAGTGTTAGCATACGACATTAGAAATGGATGTACATACTTGTATGAGTGTGTAAATGGGGATATGGGCAGGTGTGTATGTTCAGAGTATGTTCAGTACTGCGCAAATGTCAGAGACCAGCCTTAATTTATTTACTTTCCAGCCAAAACAACCATTAAGTATGACATACTCATTTTTCTGAGGATATTAGATATAAGGTAATCAAGTTGCATGAAGAAGGGGAAAGCCAAAGAAAAGTAACAGTTCCCAAAACTAGTCTTAAAAAAATGATTAAAAGATATAGAAGAAATGGAACTCCAAACAACCGTGTAAGACCAAAACCGTCACCATCAGATAAACAGTATTTAAAGCTTTAATCTTTGAGAGAGAGGAGAAAATCAAGCTCTGAAAAATCCACAGGTGTTTCTGTCCATCTTCCACTGTGAGAAGACAACTCAACACTATGAGTCTGAAAGGGTGTGTAGCTTTTAAAAGCCCTTACTTAGAAAAGAAACTAGACAAGAAAGAAGAAATTTTGAAAATCAGAAGCTGGTGTTCTCAGACCAATGCACTGACCACACCAGAGTCGAGACCCTAGCGTGACGCTGGCAATGTTTGGGATTATCTGGATCCTGAGAAGCAGAAAATGTAACCAACTTTCAAAGCAAGCCACCTGAAAAGCAGCAAATTAGAAGCAGTAAACACTAAACACTAAAACATATCATACTGATATCATATTTAGTTGTTCAGGCTGTGTGTAATTTTCTGGTAAATCTGTGTTTTTTGCTTTTTTCCTCATGCTAAAAAGGAATAACTTGTACTTGATGGCTGTTTTGACAGGAAATTCAATAAATGAGGGGTGGTCTCTGACTTTTTCACAGCACTGTGTGTGCTTGTTTTATGTGTATTCACACATGCTTAAATGACAATTTAACATTCTGCCACACACTAAAAGCATCCTCTCTTAAGCCAACAAACTAATAAAGAAAAACCCAATAGCCCAAGAGGAGAGAAATCATTTGAGGGTGAGAGTTAATAATCTGAGAGTTGTGGCCAACTGCCATCTAACTAAACACTACTCTTACAATTCAGGTGTTTTTGTACGAACCTTATTTCGAAAACACTGGCAAAAGCCCTCAGGCTGTGTGAGTACATCTAACAAAGCCTGGATCCACAAGCCCCACGCCTTAATGGCCACCATCATCATGATGGGAGTCTAAATAAAGGACCTGAACTTACCTTAACGCACTCCTTAAAAGCCTCTTCTTACTGCCCATTTAAGCAAAACATCAACAAGAACGAGAACAACAAGAACACGACCACCACATCCTTTATCCTTTCAGCTGCAGCACTTTCTTTGCCCTTCCCTTAATGATCCTCAGCATTTAGAGGCTGGATAATGACCAAGAATAAATGGTCACTGGTTCATATGGTCCAGGTTTTTTTGATGACAATGTCATTTTTGTTTAATACAAAAACCTCGCTGCTAATGGTCAATGTCACAGAACCAGACTTCAAATCTGTAATTAAAAATTAACTAATTAGTGCAACTTTTTGCTTTAATAGGTGTTTGACTGTTTATGCTTTATAATTATTTATAGCAAAGACTAACTAATCCAATCTTTAATTAAGAAATGCATGTGAAAAGGGCAAAGCCCATCTGAGATTACATTAAATTATTGATCACAGTAAATCTGAGGGAAGTAATATGGCTTCATAAAACATATGCATGTGGCTGTTTGCATTTGGACTTTAAATGACTTTATTTTATTTTTCGTTTCAAGCCATGAAGCAGCAATACAGTCTAACTTTCCCTTACATATCTCTGGCGCACTGTAGAGAGGAGGTAGCCTCTGAATGGATGACATAAGTAAACAAGTCTAGACGTACAGACAGTCAAGTTGAGCAGTGTCTGAAGCAGAGCACTCTGTTTTAATTCCCCACGGATTTAGCAGCCTATGTGAAAAGAGGCTTTATATATATGGCATTAGATGCTTTGTATATGTTAATAAAGAAAATGGAGCGCGGGTGGGGTGGCGGCATATAATTGGAGGTATTGATGGGTTGTCATTAGAAGAAAAATGTTTTCCAGGAAGAAAAAAACTAAATTAATACTGTGATGGGCCTACACAGATAGGCTTCTTCAAAGAGGCATGCAGACACAAGACAACTCTACAGCTCTTAAGCACTCTACCAGTGCTACTAGACAGCCTAAACAGCATATTTGACAATAATCTCAAAGCAGATTTGCCAGGACCACGATCAATACAGCAAAGCATCTATGGAGTAAACCCCCAAACTACCTCTGCAGGGAAACGCAATTGTGAGTTCAAAGCTCCAATGGACAACGATGCAATCTTTCAGGTCATTGCAGGGGTCAGAGAAAGAGGGACAGCCGATACAGACATGGGATTGACACGAGGGGGGAGGTGGGTAAAAACAGAAAACACTGTGGTTGTTTTGTGAAGAGAGGTAGGACTGAGGACTCACATCGATGTAATTGGCATTGATGTAGTCGGAGTTTGGGTCTCCAAGCAGAGGGTGCAACTTCACTCGATGGCGATCATCTGAAACGCGCCCAAAAACACAGACACACAGACGTAAAAATGTTAGTTGGAAATCTGGAAATGTCTAATAAAGTTTACACATGGTCATTTTATGTGACTTGTATCTGAATTGCAACCTGATAAGATTTGAATGTATGCATTTACACATGGTAGTCAATGCATCTCTGGTTAGTGAGACTAAAATTTGATATTTGATTGCCATTAAGTGTGCAATATGTAAAGTAGCTCATAAAACGAAAAACAAAGGTTGTTCCTCATTTCTGTTTTTTCATATTCTATGCAGAAGTTTAGTGGCTGCCTCAAATGTTTTTAGCATTTATCATTTCTTTTCCTACAGCAGTCAATCTTTTATGACATAATATATTGGGTGATATTTTGGTTGTTAAATAAGGCTTGGAGAGACAAATGTAGTTGCAATTGTATGTCTGGCTTACATAAATCCACTTACTGAAGTCATTTGGGCAATCAGATTTAGATCTGTTTTAAGTGAGTTTTGCATTTACACCTCTGTTGTTGTGTGAATAATCCCTCTCTGTGTGTGATTTCGATACTCATGAAGTGGCCAGATGTAAACAGGGTAACAATCTTGACAGTTTGGTAACTTGAAACATGGCTTGGTAATGCAAAACAGTACATCAGTAATAAGGAATCTGTAGATGTAGCTCTATAAAGCAGCAATGTAATATACATGTATTTGGGTTTTTCCACTGTTGTCTTTAATATAAGATAAAAAGATAACTCACAACCCATTAGCGTATCATGTCTTCCCTTATTTTTATCCTTCTTCTTTGTGACATCCCAGCCTTCAAAGAAGCTCTAGAAAAGAGATCAGGTGCATGTGTCAAATTCCTATATACAAATGTTCAATATCAAACTACTAACGTCCTCAGCAAAGATGAGGTCCTTTTTAAGCCTCTGATGGTTTTGGGTAAATATAATGACATTTTTGAAAATTCTTGTAAACATCAACATTTCTCTGGCCAACTAACATCTGCAATGCTGGGCAAAGCTAGTGCATCTACAAACTCAAATCTTTCTCTGATGAAGTAAAACTGCTGCCTTTGACAGGCCATAGCAAGAAAGATAAGAGAACCCAATTTCTAATGTCACAAAAAATCAAAAATTTTCTTCATGCCTGTCCATGTTTCCTTTGTTGCTATGGCAACACACTAGAATAAACACTCATTAGCCGTAGTCCCCCTGTGAGAGGCCTGGCAATATCAGTCCCTTTTGGTGGTCGGTAAAAAAAAAAAACAAAGGAAAAGCTGATAATCTGAACACTGAAAAATCACCACCATGTCATTCAGTGCAAAAGAGAGACAGAGAGACAGAGAGAGAGAGGGGGGGGGGCATCATAGACTTTATATCCCCCAACAAGTCACAAAACCACCCTGCCAAGAAACAGTCTAGGATTACACACTGCCACCTTCTCTTTACAGTTAGAGGCTCTACTCCACTCCTCAGGGCTGCCAAGCACACAAGCACGCCCCAAGAGTATTGTTTAGCAGAACTAGATGGCTGAACAAAACGCAGGTGAGGGGGCTCACACAGAGCACTTAACCACAGAGCAAACAACAGTAATTATTGTCCATTATAGGCAATGACGGCCCACTGAGGAGCTGAAGTGGCTCATAAGCTCTTGTTAGTAGCGAGTTTAGTTAGGTCTCATGGGCAATGCTCGTCATCTGCACTCTCCACTCTCCATCTGCAATGAATCAGACCATCATTGCCCCAATTAATGCCAAGGGCTGAGATATCCTCCCAAATTTTATAAATATATGTGAACCACAATGCACCTATTTTTCTACAGAAGAACCAATATTCTTGTAATAATTAGTTGATTATCTGTTGAAGGTGGTTACTGGGTTATCTAAAATACTAAAATACTCACTTGCCAGGGCTTCACCTCCTATGCCTACTGTGAGCCAGTTGGCAAAGTTACACTAACCAAAAAAATGGTCTGGCAAACTATGGTTAAGCAAGCATACTATTTTAAAGAATTCAGTTATTAATGGCATACAATCATAATTTATCAAATAAAAAAATAAATAAACAGACTAGTATAATTGAAAAATTAAGAAATTAAGCAGACTAGTTTGGCTCTTACCACACTCAGTATAGTAGCAATTCAGCATACCCTATAGAAACAGCAGCAAAAGGCACATATGTTGCCCTTTTCTATTCAACTCCATAGCAATCAATAAACTCTTCATACCTTTTAACCTTGACCTAGAGGAAAAATCACTGGGGGCTCAGGTACAGGGAGCTCAATCTCTCTATCACTCTGTCTCTCTCCTTATCTCTGCCAATGCCTTCTTCATCCTTCCATCATGGTCTAGATCAATGACCAGTGTTCTTCTTCCACTGGGAAATAAGGTTTATGAGTTGGTGTTTGGGGTTAGGCTCAAACTTTTCCCCTCTGTTTCATCTCTTCCCATTATGAGGTCCAGTGAAAAAACTCAGTTCTTACACAAACACACAACACACAGATACAGTATGTGCACACACAAACACACTTAGACACACAAAAAGTGTGTATATTGATTTTGGGCCAAGTCTGTTCCACCTGAGGGGAGGGGGAGTTTAATGAGTCTACAAGCAGAGCTCCAGAGGGGCTGGCTTGTACCGGCACATTGATTGGACAGAGAGATGTTTTGTCTCATAGCTTTGCTTGTGGAGAAACTGACAACAGGGGCAGAAGAGTCCACAGTACACAAGCTCACCACTGAGAAGAGAAGTTCAAGTGGTAAATAAACCAGAGCTTGAAGAAAACAGAGAACTGAGTGCAACGCATGTAGGTCTAAGTACAAATCTCTAATTACTGACTTTACTCTAAGCTTTACTCTACTTCTTCATGAACTCATGTTTACTCATTCCCCTCTAAACGTAATGATTACATTAAGATTACTAATTAAAAATGAAAGATTGTCTAATTTAACAACACATACAACAATTTACAATCTTCTTTAAAGAACAATCAAGCTCATTGATCAGTTATACTGATAACTGGAGTCAGCATTCATCCAAGGTATGAATTTCACCTGGCCTGTCATAAAACAAACAAATAAGCAAAACAAACAAACAAAACACAACATAATTCCCCCCAAGTACAATATGGTATAATCAAATTTCAGAGAGCCCCAAACAGAAAGCTGAAACTCATAAGACTGGAGTTACACAAGCACACAGCAATGAAAATGTCAAACCCGTAACCCCTTGTGCAGAAATAAATTTTTTATGATTTACAGACATCTCTTGTACTAGATAATGTCTGTGTCCATGAGTACTCCATAAGAAAAGCACTGAACAAGAGTGCCGTTCAGAGGATAATGCCATGTAGGAAACCACCCTGACCTCAATCCTCTTGAATTCTGTGGTGTGATCTGAAGCAGGCCATTCAAGCAAGATATGTCAAAAATATGTATACATAGGTACTGTCACGCATTTAGCCAGTCCTCAGATGGACAAAGACTACATCTCCCAGAATCCTCTGGGGGATCACGTGGCGGAGCTACTTCCCTCAAACCCGCAGTCTCACTCGGACTCCAATACCCAGACTTCCCAGCGAAGTCACATGACTCCTGACCCATCCTCATGCTCCTATCAGCGTTCACGTTCACCTGAATACTAATACGTTTCAGCTGTGTTTAGGTCATATGACTCAGATAGTTTAGTTTTTAAGCCCGGGCTTTTGTTTTCAATCCGCAAGCATCTGATTTTTGGTGACACATTACAGGTACATATTTCTGTATGGAAGAATGAGCCAAAACACTTCCTAACTGTAAAGTTGTGACCAATAAAGGAGTTACCAAAACTAGTTACTAAATATGAGACTTTGACTTTTCTCATCCCTTTTTTCAAGGCTACAGGGATATGCTTTCATTCAGCCCCTAAGCATTACTGAGATCGAGATGTGACGCTGGGCGATAAGTCCTCACTCACAGATGATGCTCCAGTTCATCTCAAAGGAATTCAATAGGGTTGAGGTCAGGGCTCTGTGTAGGCCAGTCAGGTTTTCCACATCAAACTCAGCAAACCATTTCTTTATGGATCTCGTTTTTTGCTTTAGGCCTTTGTCATACTGAAAGCAGAAACAGCCTTCCCCAAACTGTTGTGACAAAGTTTGAGGCACACAGTTCTCTGGAATGTCACTGAATGCTGTAGGAGTCATGGAACTAAGGAATCCAGCCCATGAAAAACAGTCCCAGACCATTATTCCTCCTCCACCAAACCTTAGAACGGGTACAATGCATTAGGGCAGGTAGCGTTCTCCCAGCATCCTTCAAACCATTTGTCTGTCAGACTGTCCGATGGTGCTTTACATCACTGTCACTGAAGACAGACAATTTTTCTGAGCTTCAGAGCTCAGTGGTACCATTCTGTGGGTTATACATCTCATGGCTAAGCTGTTAATGCTCCTAGATCATTACACCTCACAATAACATCACCTGTTGTTGACCAGGGCAGTTTCAGAGATGAACTGACTTATGGGAAAGATGGAATCCTATAATCATGGACGTCTTCAGTGCAAGTGTTGTAATTATACTGCAATTCTACTGCCAATGTTTATATTTATAGACTGAATGGAGGTATGCATGATTTTATTCACCTTTTAGCGATTGGTGAGGCTAAAATAGCAGAAATTAGAGCGGATGTTGACATACTTTTGGGCATACACTGTATATACTGAATGACAAAATATTTGCATGTATTTTTCTTACATATGGCATATTTGACATTTCAGTGCTAAGAAATCACATCACAACAATGACATACTTTTGACATACGTACAACATATATATTATGTACATATGTTTTTCTTCCGTATGGGGTATATAACTGTATGTAAGTATATGGTGGGGTGGAATGAGGAGAGGTCTGCACAATGGTTTGTCTGACAAATCACCCTTGCTATAGAACAGATAAGACACATTGTGAGACCCCTGGAGACTGCAGCTCTCGCAGCATGACATCTGCTCCTATGAATGCTGTCATCCACTCTAACAGTGTCTATTTATTAATATCCCTCAGCATATTTGGTGACACTAGACTAAGCACAAGTGTATTTCAATTAATGGAAGCAATCTGTGGGGACAGCTGTGGGACATTTATAAATGCTGGAATAAATCACTAGAAAGGCTGCCCCTCTCTCTCTAGCCTTGCTGTCAGAGACAGGAGAGTCTGAAAGGAACTGTCAGTGCAGTCATTTTGCTTTTTGATTCAAATCCCACCTCATACTCCTGTTTGAAACCATAGCCTTCTGCAGTCTTCATCTGGTTGATGTGCTGCAGCAGGTCAGCAACGCGGACGGCTGGATGAAGCTGTCCTGTGTGGTAGGGAGAGCCCTTACGCCCACACTGTCTCCGGGGCGAGCCACCAAGCAGACTGCTGGACTCATTCATGGAGCTGCGTGGATCACCTGAGGAGAAACATTCATGAATCGACACACACACACACACACACACACGTGTTCAACTACTCTAAAGCATTTAAGAAGGAAATTGTCTAGACACAAAAACAGAAATGACTACCATGGGTATTGTCGCTTTCAGCTCAGTGTAATTATAAATTCATAAACGTGATTGTGGAGAACATTATAAATTCATGACTTCAGCTGTGCATGAAAGTAAATTAGCAGTCAGAAGTGAGGAATGTAAGATGCAGCCAGCATGTATGCAGCAGAACATGCTGCAGACTCGAGAGAGTGGACGAGACAGCTTTGAGATGAGCCATTAAAGCTTCATTTTGATCAAGAGAACTCCTCCTTCAAACATCAACTATTAATCGTTCGTTGAATCAGTTTTGAGCCAAATAAATTATTTTGTATTTTTGCCCCAATTTCCACAAGAAAAGGAAGCTTTGAATCAGAATGCATATACTCCCTTTCTCTCTCTCTCTCTCACACACACACACACACACATATGTATATATATTTATATATATATATATATATGTGCACACATTCACTGGCCTCCTTATTAGGTCCACTGACCACCACTGATGAATGTAAAGTGTTCGACTACGTGATCAGCAGACCTAATAAGGAGGCTGTAGAAACAATAATGTCGTGGTGGCATGTTAGTGTGTGTTGCACTGCACAGATGAGACACAGCAGTGTTGCTGGAGCTTTTAAACACCTCAGTGTCGCTGCTGGCCTGAGAATTGTCCACCAACCAAAAATATCCAGCCAACAGTGTCCGAAACAGAACACTGATAAGGGACTAGAGGATAAGCTTTGTCTCAAACTTTTACATTTATACGGTGGACCAACAGGGTAAGTGTGTCTAATAGAGTAGACAGTGATTGGACACGTGGTTGAAAAACTCCAGCAGCACTGCTGTGTCTTATGCACTAGGAGCACAACACCCACCAACATACCACCACTATAACATTATGTCTCCAAATGTTGAATTCAATAAAATCCTCACAGCAGAGTTCCAACATCTAGTGTAGAGTAGAGTAGAGACTTTAGAGACTTTTCCTGCAGAAAAGGGGGGGTGGGGGACAGACTCTCTATTAATCCCTTAATTTCAGAAGAAACATTGGATGAGCAGGTGTCTGTAAACTACATATATAGAGAGATGTATGTACTATATGTGGAAATGTAAACACAAGCATTTTCTGCATACAGATTCTTTTCTACATTCTTTCTGATATATGTGTTAATGGTGCTTAGTGGGCCATAGGAAGTGTCATGATTTAGCCCTGTAGCCTTACAGTGGTTCAGCTGCACGCAGCAACACAAATGCTATAGAACAGAGAGGGTGATGTAGGTGAACTGAGTCATTAATTTAAGTGTGCTGTGGATTTCCAGAAAGGCTGAACAGGGTGAAAATGACCTAAACTGCAAGAGCACTGGTATTCATTCATGTGTGAGTGAGGGTGATCTGGAGCTCGGCACTAAATGACTTGTAAGGTATACCTGAGTGGTAAGGGGCATGACTTTTTTTTACACATTTTGATTTCTTGGCAATAAAGTGTATGAAAAATATCAGCAAGCGTGGAATAGTTTGCAGTACGAGTACGAAAGCTGTAAGATTGTTGCATGACTGTTAATACTGGGAATGTGTATTCGAGGAGACCTAGTAAATGGGTCACATAAACTTGTCATTGTATCTACATCATATGTTTTAATTAATTTAGAGAGCTGCTATGAAATGTCAACGCTTCCTACCACTAGCTTGATTCTAATGTAACAGGCAAATATGAAGTTAACAGAAATTAGCATTATGTTTGTGGGGCAAATGTATAAACAACAGCTAATTTCACAGTGAATCACAAGATTTCTGCATTAAACATTGCTGTGCAATGACATGCATCAACGGCAAATGTTCATGATTTTTCAACTGTATGTAGACTTTTAACGCAGACAAGCTAGACATCAGTGTAGACAAGTCGAACATATACAGTTTCTCTATACTTTGCTCTGCTGAACTATATTCAACCATATTCAATTTGAAAAAAGGAGTAAAACATGCACCTTTAGCGGTGTTTAGTGTTCAAAATATTGAATGTTGGTATACGTATTAGGATTTGCACTGGAAGTGGGCATGTCACTCACTGTTTTTTGTCTGCTGAGATATTCTGCCTCTTTTCATTTGGCGTCAATACAAAACTATGGGATTAATTTGTAGATTACTAAAGTTCAAGTCCGGTTAGCAGGACAGAGATCAGGCTAGGTAAGAAAACAAGTGATAGATGCACAAGAGCATGCAGTCTGCAAAGAATCTTCTGTGTTGTAGGATGGGTCTGAAAAAAAAAAAACTAAAATGCAAGTATCTGCAGGTTGCTATAAACATTTTAGAAGAAATTGGTAAAATGCCACAGGCCACACCAAACAATCAGTAAAGTACAGTATAGTAAAGGACACAAATCATTGAAAATGATTCCAGGGCAGGCTAGTGTTCTTTCTTTCTGACGTTACTCACTGTCTATTTTGGGTTTAATTTGAGTTTCAAACTGTAATCAACACCTATGTAATAACTAGTATTCGACTCTTTTGCAACTCAGCTTTATACCGTTTTAACAACCATCGTGACCCCTAACATTTCTTAAATCCTAACCTATAAGATAAAAGTGAATTATTTAATGTGATACCTAATAATATTCAGCATGCTTCCTGCTAAGCTCATGTGCCCTTCTTGCATGAAGTGGGTGTCTGTGTGTAGGTGGATGTCTCTTACTGCGGGTGCTGCAGGTGTGGGCATCCATGAAGGACAGAGCCATTCTCTCGTCCTCCTGCAGTGTGCTCTGGTCAGCGAAGCTGCGCTCCATTGAGCCCATCATATTACTCTTCTCCTGCCTGTAGGTAATGGGAGTCTTATTCATGTTCACTGGCTTCCTACTGATAACACAGAGACAGAGAGAATGTGAGAGAGAAGGAGAAAGAAGGAGATGAAGAGGGAAAGAGGGAGAATGAGAAAGAAAAAGAACAATAGAGAAATACAGAGAGATAGATAGAGTGAGAGAGAGAGAGAGAGAGAGAGGGAGAGAGTAAGACTGTTACTTCACTGATGTGCTCTCTGATCAGCACTAAGCTAAAGCAATGGGAAATGATGGTGTGCAATGGAGGAAAAGCCACTTACGGATAGTAAGAGTAAGAGTAGTAGTCCCTTCTGGAGAGGAGAGAAGAGAGGAGAGAGAAAAAGAGAGAAAGAGAGAGAGAAAAAGAGAGAAAGAGAATAAGGGAGAGGGGACATGAGATGCAAGCATTGCCAGTGTTCTGATTAGTGTGAAAAATGGCAGGCTCTCAGAGGCTTGCTTTGGCCACACCAGCAATGTGACACATGCAGAACCTAGGCAGTGACAGACAATACAACAGCCAAAGCAGATATGGCCTAATCAAATATGTTGCCTTGTTAGCTTTTAATGAATCAACTAAATGCTTTGTTGCCAGAGAGAATTTCGCTATCACCAGCCACAGAAGCAACTTCATGGTGGCTTAGCAGCATAATCAGTCCCACTGTTTGAGACTCGGAAACACTGAAATATTCAATAAAGCACTTAAAGTACTTTTTGTACATTTCCACTTTGAACAGAATAACAAAGAATTATTATCTCATTACCATTTTTTGTTTTCATTTTGGGGAACATTGTGTTTAACCTTTTTCATCCCTTAAGGTCCCAAGCTTATAATAAACTATACATACTATTATGCATAGACATATATACATATAACCTTTTTAACCCCTTAAAGTCCCAGGCTTATTACATACTATGCATGCTTTTACACATATACATACATGTACATACTACACATACTATTATTATTCAGTAACTACATGGACTTGTTTGGTTGTAGAAGTGTGTAGCCATTTAAAGGGTTAATGCAGAGGCAAAAAAAAACCATCTATATCTACCTTTTCATCTACTCTTCTGCTTTAATAATGTGATTCCTTAATGTTGTTGTTGCATTTGCTTTGATATATAAAGTACATAACCTAAAAAGCTACAAATTCAGTTGTTTTTTTTTTTGCTTGCACTGAAAACTACAGTTTTCGAGCGGGCAAACAACTGAATGTATACTTATATATGAATCTATACTTCTATGATTTGTACTGTATTGTTCAATACGAGCCTCTTGATTCAATACATACAGGATTGGGCACAATATATTCAACAGACAGTAGTAAATAAAATACTCTGATAAGTACTCTGTAATGCATGAAGTATGACAAAAATAAAACAAGCAAGCCCACCACTGCTCTGAAAATATTGCTATCTCTTTACTCTAAAAATGACTTGTAAGAGTATATTAGTTGTGGCTAGGGCATTTTTATAAAATATTGTACTTTCATAAGGAAGAATGCTGTAATAAACTGAAAATAGCAGCATTAACATATTAATAGATTTTCAGGCCCTTTTTTTTTGCAGTGTTGAGAAATGTATTGAATCCACTACACCACTACATTGTATCAAACTGAATAATGAGCTTTATAATTCATTATATGCTGAATAATAATAATATATTACTATGAATATGAACAAACAGTTATATAACTATACACTTTACACTTCAGTCGGCTTTTATTGTGATTAGAATTTCATTTCGAATGTTTTCTCTAGCTCTAGCAATTAAGACAGCATCATGCTTCTTTTATGTAGTGACAGAGGACATGGTAGCATGCTACACTTTAACATACTGATTCATTTTATTATGCCCAATGTAGACATGCATGCAGTCCAACTAATCTGGCAATACATTTTAACGAATTCAAGGGGACTTTATCAAAGTCTATAAATGTGTTTCTGCCAATATTGGTTAGGATAGCATCAATAATTGAATTGTTTCTACTTTTTAAAACAGTTTAACTCTATCTGACGGCAATCCATCATAAGCAGAATGTAAATACCTAGCACAAGCTACTTCTCTAGCCTAAGTTACTCCCCTAAACTAAGACAAATATTTCACATTATGTCATAGGTTCTTTTCAGGAACTGCCCCAACGCCAAGTTGTGAAATGTGTTTGAGTGAGAAATAGCAAGCGGCTTTTCTCAGATTGCTGGTGGAGATTAAACTCTGAGATAGATGCAGTGGATCATGGGCTGTTTCTCTTATCAGCACCTGGACCTTTGGAGAAGCATGCTAATTATCTTCAAAAGCACACCTTTTCCCACCCAATTATCAGCTCGTTTCTGGGTCAGGCTGATGCCAGGCCAGGCCTAATTAAGTGAGTAATTGAATTGCACCTCTCCTTAATTAAATATTTCACACCCAGATAATCTCAGAAGATGAAAGCTCTCTGCAGCCGCCCTGCCACACTGTGGGAGACTGGAGACAGCAAACGTGAGCGACTGTTAGCTTTAGTCATCTATGAGCGACCCAATCTGCATCTGAAATTCAGAACAGAGCATCTGGGATTGGGAAAAGAGTTTCTCTTCTCTCCTCTATATCTAAGTGTTTAGATATAGAGTTATCTGTATCTAATAAACACAAGACAAATGCGAACTCTGTGTTGCTTACAAGCTGCATACACAGTGAAGCCATTCATGGTTCATGGTAATTCATGGTAAAGCACAACATGCCATGTCACAGGTCTAATTTGGGCTAGAGGCTGTTCAATGTGATCCTTACCCTTTTTTGATGATGATGATGATGGCTCCCAGCAGCAGAATGAGCACCACCAGACCCCCTGCACAAACACCCAGAATCAGGCCCATCTCCTCTGAGTGCTGGGACACTTCCAGAGCGCGTCGGTGGTCCTTACAAGCAGCTGGAGAACACAGACATATACGCAAGCACACAAACATTTAAAAACCTGAACAAAAACACCTGCATACAAATACTCACTTATTAAAACACATACTCATGTACAAAGAGAAACAGAAAGAGGAGAGCCTGAAAAATAGTCTACATACTAAAAATACTAAACTCAAAAGTGTGAGCCAAGTTTGAGTTTGGTTTCAGAAGTCTGTGTGTGTGTGGGTGGGGGGTGTCGACATGAGGCTGGAGCTAACATTTACATTTCTCTGGTACTGCATACCTAGAAAGTTATTACTGAAGTTAGTGCTGACAGAAATGTCATTGCTCCTCTACCTTCACTGTACTGGTGTGCATCTTATCAGAACTTACTTCATGTAAATGGAGTAATGTGCAACCATGACAAGGAGTGTGGCCCACTGATTCATATTTGGTGTATTTTACTTAAAGCTACAATATGTAAGTTTAGGGGATTTGGAGACCTCTCTGGTGAAAATGCGTAATTGCAAACATGTGAAAGAATATTTCGTGTTTCTGATCCCTTCTCTGAGTGAATTAATCTGATTATTACAAACATGTTGAATGAGTATTCAGTCAAATACTGAACGAGAATTCAGTCAAAACTTTTCCTAGGATGAAAGTGAGTTACCTACAATTGTCATCATATCTTTATCAGTATAGGTTTATTTTGCAATTAAGATCTAAACATTAAGCTGGACTTTCTTTTTAAGGGTCGTTAATACGTGAAGATATATGACATGGTCTGAAAAACTCTCCCTTTAAATTATTATTTTGGGCTTTACAAGGTGACTCATAGCAGCACATGGACACCATGCTTTAATGTGTTTTATCTTTTTCCCCTGACTCAGTATTGCTAATTCTTCCAACTGTAACAAGAAATCTTACGTAGTGCAGCTTTTAAGAAAGACTGTAATTAATCAAGCCATGTTATTAGTCTGATAGAAAATCGGATAGAAAAAGAAACAAAGCTTTTTGTCTCTGTCAATCTCTTGCAGCACAAGTTTTACTAGCACGGCAGGAGCACATTTCCTCTAGCAGGAACACATCAGCTACACCCAAATGACTATTTATCCCCCACGCCTGTCTGCACTGACAGCGCAGCGGTATGGGTCACTTCACACCGTGAATCTCCACAGGAGAGCCTAACTCTCATTCACACAGGACAATGAGGCTGCGTGATCGAAGAGTAAGCAAAGAGCGTGCGCCTGCGTGCAATGAAGCCTGGAGCAAATTAACCTGACCACACTTCAGACGCCTGCTGTCAGCTGAATAGCAGAGTGTGTGTGAGTGTGTACGTGCATGTGTTTTTATTGCTGAAAAGTGGGTGGCTAAGGTACTGAAAGTGGCAGCTCTTATGCCTTTAAATAAAAAAAGCAATACATTCTGTTTTCCTCTTTTCACAGATGTTTGGAGTGAAAGTTTAGAGATCCATTCTGAGAACACAGCGTTCCAAGTCACTCAAAAGCATGTTTTCCAGACGAGGCAGGTGGATGTGCCAATCAAAATCTTTTCAGCCTACATGTCCAAGTGATTGGATCACCTGCACACTATTGACCTCTATACTCAAATCAGTACCTGCGTTTAAAAGTGTTCTAGGGTCATTTCATATAGACGTTTGTTTCTTCCTTTGAAATATGGGCCTGTCATTTCTCACACTTTTGAGATTATTGTAAGAATATTTTAAGCTCTTTTTATGTTGTTTTAAGTAATTTGATCTAAGGACAATTTCTTATTGCTTTGGCAGACCATTCTGCTTTTTAAAGCATTCATTTTTGAATCTGCCAATAGAATAAGATAATTTATGGACATGACTTACAAGTAAACAAATCTAGAAACGAACTGAATAATATTATACTATCCTTACAACCATCTCAATTTGACAAATATAAGGCAAGGCAGTGGATTAAAGGACAGTGTTCTCAGAGAACATGAAGTGCAGTCTACTCCTGTTAAGATCCTGTTCAAATTCACAGAAAAGAAAAATGCACTAGATTCTGTTGCTGTTTGTGCAATTCAGACTACTATGAAAATATATTAATGAGACAATAAAAATGCTGATCATCCATGCATGCATGAAACATGTTAAAAGACAATATTTTATTGCAAGCTGATAAACCTTCTCTTTTACTGCCACTTCCACGCAGGTTTTAGACATTCAACTGCCATGACTCATCAAACTAAACTGACAAATCAAAGAAAACACATCTATTCATCTCTTCCTTTGGAACTTAGACAGAGATTATACAGGAGGTGAAATTTCAAGTACCCTTTAGTCTTTACCAGCGTGCTGAAAACCTTACTACACTAACAGCTGGTTCATTTACTCACTCTCTCCAGTGGTCTGCACTTATGCAAACAGCTCCTTTGTCATGAGGCTAGTGATCTAGTTTCCCCGGCTGCTCTTAGCGTTTCCTGAAGGCCCTGGTGGCCTGAAAGCTTGTGGGCAGAGGGAGAGAAAGTCAGCTTGGGCCTGCGGAAAGAGGTCTGCTTCAGAGCTCTCTGTACAAGGCCAAGGCTAAAAATACAAGTGTGTGGATAGAGGGATCTGGGGCAGGAGAGAAAGGAATAAAACATAGCTCCCCTCCATCTCCACACCCAAGGCCTTTCCACAACTTTCTTTCTTTCCCTTTCTCCTGTGACAGCAAACACTCAGAGAAAATGCTGTTTTAGTAACAAAGAGATAGAGGTGTTAGCAATGAAGCTAGTGAAGCATTCTGGTTTAAAAAATGTAATTTGGGAAATAATAACAAAGGAAAGTTTGCAGAGGAAAGCATGATCCTCTCTTAAATACATGAGGGAGAGTTTTTTTAAACACATGGCCCATAAACTGCCCATGTACACCTAGTATGCATTCTTTTTTGGGCAGAATGCATCCTCTTTTTGCCTGAAACCTGGTGGAGAAAGCTTAGTACCTGAGGGAGTGCTTGTGTTGAGAAATGTTGAAAGATCTAGGCCTAAGCTCTTGCTAACTCTGATCACTTTTTATCTTCTTTTGCAAGCATTAACAAAACTGCATCACACCTGGACACAGAGAGCAGTGTTCATTTAAATGTGTTTGAAGATTGCAATAAAAAATGATTTACCCCAGGATTCCCAAGATTGACTAAATTATGCAGGCTTTGTTCGTAAACTCTGAACAGGAGTTGTACAGTTCAGCAGTTCAGGAAGCGCGTCAACGTTCTCAATTCTTCTTTCCGCATTTCAACCCATCTGTGGGTCTCACAGTAGGATTCTATATCATAACAAACCCAAATCATCATATCTTAACGACGAATAAAAGCATGCACTGTGCATGAAATATAGATGGGGAAACATCCATTAAAGTTTGCTGCAGGTCTGATCAGATTTTCGTCGTCGTGCCACATTTCCTTTTTGAATATCAATTAAGCCAAACACAAGCATGAAATTTGTTTCAAGATTAATGCGAGCACCTGCTGAGTGCCCCCAAAATGGAAATTGGCACTTAGAGAAGAAATGAGAGTCTATTGTTGTGTGAAGACTGCCAAGGGACTGTTAATTAAACTGTCACCTGCAAGTTGAAATGGAGGCCGTGGCTGCTTGGTTGTGTAAGCCTGTGCAATTTTACAATGCTTTGAGCACATTACGGGGGCGACACAGACATTGTTCCTCCCTACACTCTGCTCAGGCAGATTTCTATGACAGATGGAACAAAATGACCCAGTGAGTAGATTTTTTTTTAACCTGTGTTCATTTACAGTAGTGCATCTAAACATTACACTGCAATGTGTTGCAATGCAACATGATAAAATACAATAGTTTTTGGGGTAAGTGTAACATTATTTCAGAGTCTGGATTTTTAATTCTAGGTGCATGTGTACATTCATCATTTAACTTGAACTATAAAACGTCTGACTGAATTTGATGTGAATTGAATTGAAAGTGTCAGTTTATCTCATAGTTTATACTATGGTCACATAGTCACTCACACACTTCACGTCATTATAGTTACATGAAATCGATTTATTTTATTTTATTGTGTTATATTCTTATTTTGTAAGTTTATGCTTCTATATATATGTAGCTAGTTAGGCAAGGCACAGTTGTGCTTATGCAAACTACACTATTTGTCATTTAGCTATAATGTTTGTGCTTGACCCATTTAATCCCATCAATCATAATTATTACTGAAACTTTTAAGCATGTAGAGCTCTAAAAGAGCCGTTAATGTATTTGAATGGTACTGAATGGTAATACGTTGAACTACAACTTGCGTTACGTTTTTTTTGTGTGGTACGAATGTAAATGTATGCCCCTGAGAAAGATGATGAATTGAAATTCTACAAGTCAGTAAAACATGTTAGAGTACACATGTAACCACTATATTTGGTACATATACTTTTTAAAGAGTCTACTGTTTATATATTTATCTGTTTATATTTATATTGTTGTTTAAATTTATTATATATTTGTTTATATATACTATATATTTGTTAAATTATTATATATATATATATATATATATATATATATATATATATTATATATTATATATGTTAAGACTGTACTGCCACATTTATATAATTCTCACAACTGTGACTGGTGGGATAACACAGTGGCTCACATTTGCTGCTCGCGATGACCCAGTACAGGTTACATGCATCATTATTTCAGTATGCTACCTCAGTTTTTCACATGGTTCACTGTTTATGAGGCTGAGAAAAATTTGGGACTAAATGACTGGTTAAGTATCAAGACATAGAAGTAAATGAGTTGTTTTTTTTTTATGGATTTTTTCCTAATTTAGTTGTGTCCAGTTCTCACCCGATAGTTAGGTCTCCCCTTAGCACACAATGCTACCAAGCTGGGAGGGTGAGAGGTAGCATGTGCATCCTCCGAGACCTGTGAAGCACCACTGCATATTTTCAAACTGCGGCTAACATAGCGTCACTGGACAGCTCAACATGCTTGGAGAAGATCGCCAACTGCCTGTTCTGTTACCTCAGCCAGCAGACAATGTAAAAGAGCTGTTAACCAAATATATGACCAACACAGGACAGTGGGGAAGAAATTCAGATTTAGGTGCTCCAGCAAGCATATATTGTAATTCTGTCAGTATATGAGTGCAGAGCATAGCGAAGACATCAGCTCTAGCCTGTGTGTCTGTGTGCCATAAATATAGCAAAATGATTTACTGTATCAACGTCTGTATCAAACGGAAGAACAAATGCTGGGCACATGTAAAAAAATGTAACAAACCATCAAGGCTCTGATCAATAATCTCTTGTTTGTTTGTCGATGACTGTTTAACCCTATATTTGGCCAAAAGGTTTTTTTCTTTTGAATGGCAATTAGAATCTTATGTGGATATAAATATGCGTGCAATGGTATTCCACATCACTCCTCTAGTTTTCTCTATCGTGTTTAAAATAATTGGCTTAATCTGTTCGTTACAACTCTCATTTGTTCAATGGTTTGTCTGTTTAATGCTCTGGGTGAGAGGAGATGAGGAAAGGCATTTTGCTCATCAATATGTTGAGGTGTGATTAATCATAGTCCATCTGTACTCTGAGTGTGTGTGTGTGTGTGTATGTAGCAGATGGAGGATGAGACAGTTCCAAAATGGCTGCTCTTGCCTCTTGGCTTTATGCTCTGAAGGCTCCTTTCCACCTTCATTACCTAGTCAAAGAAACAAGCCCCCCCACACACATCCACTCCCAACACATCCTACCCCTTCAAAGTCAATTTAGCCCCAAGGCTCAGTACACCCTAAGTGAGCGCTGAGAGCTATAAATATGGTCGCCCCAGTGCTGCACTCTGACAGCACTCAATAGGGGCCAGAGGAGGCCTTTGTTGTCATCTGGATGGGTGTTCACGCCTCCTGATCTTTTTCATGTTTGTGAGGGGACTATGACAGGCCTGGGCCTCATCATATTGATGGGTACAGGTGTGTGTATTAGCGCTGTTTGATGTGGAGGGCTCTCTCGTGAGCGGACAAGCTCCTGAGTGCTCATCTCACTGGCCTCTTGGCTGTGTGCCTGCTTGGGACTGGCCACCAGCAGGCAGTATCCTTTGATACAGCCTGATCCCCCACCGCCAGCACCCAAAACAAACATGATGAAAGGCTGACCTGTGCTCTTCTGCTGTTTTCTGCCCTTTTGTCTGGTGTGTGTGTGTGTGTGTGTGTGTGTGTTGGGGGGGGACTGGGAGAGATAGACTATGAGAGAGAAACAGACAGAGAGTTTCCTTTAGATGGCAGATATATACATGTCACACCCTGAGGGAAAGTGGGTACATACGTCAAAAATATAGGACTGTTAGTGGCACTAGTTTCTACCATGTCTGGATACACAACCTCAAAATGACTCAATTTCTCTGGCCGAAAGGGTAAAATAGAAAACCTCTCTAGCGTGTCCATTTTGTACTGAATAAAGACAGAATCGTAGTTTTCTTTACAATTTTATTTCACAACCGACGTAACACTACTGTCAGCTTAGCCTATAGATCAGTGGCTAGCAGTCAGGATTGGATGATGCCACAGGGATTCCCAATGGTTGCATGATATATTTTTGTGATGCATGCTGAGTATTGTAATGAGAGGACATTGATAAATGAAAAGATGAAAATGATATAAAAATTGTGAATTCTATCAAACAGATGAGGCTGAGGTGCAATACTGCATAATATGACAAATAACATACTGTCGCTGTCCAAAGAAAACGATGTATCTCCAATTTTTGTTGATTTTTAGTTTTCTGCATAATCTGAATACAATGACTGTACTTCACATTGTGTGGAAATGTCATGGTGAATGGACCAATAGCAATGCTCTAAAATTTCTTGTAATAAAATATCTTCACATTGACTTACATTAAAGGTAAAGAACATTTTCACCCTCTCCTGTATAGTTACCATTTTGGAAATACTTGTTTTACTTTGGACAGCAATGATGTTAAACTCTAGTTGCTCCTTACAACATACATTAACTTTAACAATGCTTTACCTTCTCCTCTAAATTTACCAATGAGATATGAGAGTTTTATTAAGAAATCAACATGTAGGATTAAATGTGTGTGTTTGTGTGTATGTGTGTATTGCTTGATAAATAGACTGATGTATAATATACAGAATACTTTAGTAACACTGTAACATAATATGGCCATGCCAATGAAGTTTCCATGTATTCAGTTGAAATCAGACATATAGACAGAAAGACAGAAACTGCAAGAAGAGTCTAAGTGAGGTTTCAGACTAAAGAAACAGACATTCCTCTCCTTAGTTACACATTACACCATACCTCCTGGGAAATTTACTGGTTGTTGCTCTGTGGGCCAGAGAACCAAGCACTGAGGGAATAAGCTGGCCTGTGAGATTGGCTAGTGACATATGGCAGAGTACTGTTCTTGTCTATGCTTGAGCTGGGATCTGCCAGCAAAAGTAGTGGCCTACAACAGTGGATGAGGTCTAACAGAGGATTAGGAGAAAAAAAAAAACAGGACAAAAACTCACCTTTACGGGCGATACGGATGCAGTTTATCCTGGTTTCCTGAACAAAGAGAGAGAGAGAAGAAACGTAGAGAGAATTTAGAGGCTGAAATGCTGCATAAAACAAGCAGTGGAGCAGCATTACTGTCTGATATCTGATGGGACGTTAAATGAGCTCATACTGATTTCAGCCAAATCAACAACAGCAAGCAGGAAACAAGAGATAAAACACATTTAAGACCAGCAGTGCTGCTCGTTCTCACTGAACCCAAGTGTGTGTGTGTGGTGGAAATATAAAAGACTGTAATGTAAAGAAAAGGAGATGAAGGGAGAAAATAGCTTCCCACCAGCAAACAAATACAAAAAGGAATTAATTTGCCTGAAATCTGGGCTGATGACATTGGGGTGTTATGAAAAGGACCTTCGTCAAATAACACTAATGAGATCCAAGCCCGTAATCCAATTCCGGCCTGCCACCTCGACAAGGAGATGCATTATCAAATTAAGATTTACAGATGCTAATTCAGGCATTATAGGACAATTATGCAAATCTCCCCATGCGGAAAGGAGTGAGAAGCCCCTTCTCAAACTGCGGTTCAATTGCTTTTTTTCTTTTTAATTGAAAATCCATTTCAAGCTGTCTCGTTCCTAAAGCCTCTCCTTAACCCTTCACTGGGGAGAGAGAGAGCGGGCAAATGAGAGAGAGAGAGAGAGAGAGAGAGAGAGAGAGAGAGAGAGAGATACAGAAAGAGAGCAAAAAAAAGTGTGGAGAAAGAGAGAGAGATATTGAGAGAGAGAAATAGAGAAAGAGAGAGCAAGAAACAGAGAAAAAGTGAGTGTGAGAAAAAAGATTGAGGGATAAACAGTGAATGATAGAGAGGGACTGAATGACAAAGAGAAATGCAGAAAGTAAATGAAAGAGAAAGAAAAAAAAGATAGAGAAAGCGAGATGAAGTAAGAACACAGAGCCAGAAAGAGCGAGAGTTAGTGTGCGAAAGAGATATTGAGACAAAGAAAAACAGATGACAGTTAACAATTTAAACCTGAGAATTCATTTTTGAATGCCTGTTCTTGTTGTTTCTTTGTTATTAACAATTTAATTGTCTTTTTTGTTCATTAAATGCAATTATTAAAGTACAGGCCTAAAGTGGCCAAACTGCCTGATTAGCTTTCTATCTTCTTCACTGTTGATGCTTAGTAGCAGCCAACAAATCACAAACACAGCTCAAGCTCAAATAAAGAACCATTACTCACTGTGCCCTCTTAAGGAGTTACTGCACCACTTAGAAGTCAGAACTTTTTTTGTTTTAATTAGACTAACAGCATATCAAACACAAGTCCTGCTTTATTTATTTATTTTTGTCTTTTATTTGACTAAACCCAACAGATGAAATTACACCCAATTTAAAATCATGTTTCTTGTGACATAAACATATGATTGTGAAAGCTGGCAACTATGCAAACAATTGCGATCAGCCTAAATAATTATGATAAGCTCAAAAATCATGATCAGGTGATAACGCAATAATAGTGACAGGCCTAATCATGTCAATAGTGTTCTGGTGGGCCTGTATCTAAATATGGTCAAGAGATGAGAGAAATGAGAAAGAGAGAGAGAGAGAGAGAGAGAGAGAGAGAGGGAGAGAGAGAGAGAGAGAGAGAGAGAGAACGTGATATTTATTCAGAGATATAAACACAGTCTCACAAACATTCAAAGAAAAGCACAGGCATACATAAATGCACGGTGCAATGACATTTAGGCCAGCCCAGGCTTTCTGACCACATCATCTTTATCTCCACCAGCAGCCATCATTGACATGCAAGTGTGCCATAGCTTCCCTATTACACACTCGCCTGTAAGAGCGAAATCAAAGGGAGAGAAAGCTGATAGCAGTTCACACTCCAAACACGACCAGCAGGCCCACGCTGACCCAGCACAGAGTCAATCCTCGTAGTCACAGCCCAGATATATAACTTACAGAGCACAGCCCCGCCATCAGAAGCAGTCAATAAAAGAAGGGGTTTGAGCGACAGACGGGAGAGAGCGGGCGAGCTTTGATCACACGGGCGCAGTCACAAAGCTTAAGCCCACTTCCCTCACTTAATCAAATTCACAGGAACGGTCATGCCAGCCACTGCAAAAGCGGATCTGTCAGCAAACTCAGCCTAAGTAAATGAATTATGAGCACTATATTTAACCAGTCTGGGGAAGGAAAAGAACTTATTAGAAAGCACACACTTGGTTTAGTGAAGAAGGGGTGAGAGAAAGGGTTAGAGAAAGAGAGAGAGACAGAGAGAGAGAGAAAGAGAGAGAGAGAGAGAGAGAGAGAGAGAAAGAGATGATAGATTTCAGCTCAGGCCATTCATCTTGACATGGCAGAGACTGCAGAGTGAAAATGAGAGGAAGTAATTAGTGAGTGAGAGATTCAGGGACAGAAGGTACTCACTGGGAGATCAGTGAACACACACACACACACACACACACAAACACATACACTAGGCCTGGGGCCCCAAAGGTCTTCTTAATACTCTAAACTACAAATTTTAGTGTGTGTGTGTGTGTGTGTTTATGCGTGTGCTTGAGGGACAGTCCTGATTTCATTGTTGAGGGGTGTTCAGGGACTCAGTGAAAGGATAAAGGGAAAAGAAGAGATAAAACAGACAGAAACAGCCACTCTGTAATTTGATGAGTCTGGATTCATCTTTAAAGTATCTCTTAAGATCTTTCAGTCAAATCAGCTGAGTGGTGTGACAATAACAGCATGAACAGAATCAGCTAACTGTCAAGAATAACAGGCAAATACGGCACAGATACCTTCAGCTGGTACAAAATATTGGGGAATTTTTGAAAGTCAGCCGTCATCAGCTGGTGAACCGCAGTCCGGACGTGGACCCAGCAAAGTATTTCAGTGGATCAAAACGAGCATCAAAATACAGCAAAGCTGTACAATGTATGTATAAAATGATCGTATTTCAGCTACATACATGAACATGAACAAGTGTGGCTTCTGTGGCAGTCTTGTTACAGTTTATCCAATCACATACATTAAGGTAAACAACAAAAGCAAAGACAGTTCACTGGAACAGAGACTACGGGGCTAGATCTCAGGTCAGAAAGCAAATACATTGACATATTTTCACAGATTTCATTTACTGTTTCTGATCTGAGTAGTGAAAATAGATTATTCATTAACTACAGGGACTTCAGTGCAAACTGGTTGAGCTGTTCTTAGGTCATAGAAGTGTATAATAAGACTTTGGGCCTGCTGACCGGCCCTGGCCATGTAAGGAGTTAAAAATAAATGAACAGAGAACTGTGAGTTTTTCTCTCAGTTTCAAGTTTAAAATTGATGTGTCTCATCTGTTCAGTGGCATGAAAAGTGGGAACATTAACCAGTACTACTGCGAAAGTACAATACGAAACCAGTCACAAAATTCAGTTCTGAGGAATAAAAATAAACTTAAGCTCAACATAAAAGGTCCACTAGAGTCCTTATCCATTCCTGACAGCACAAGAACATGAAATGCTCATTAAGAATAGTCTTTATTATTTTATTTATCATATATTTCATATATAACCCTTTTATTCAAATTTATTTTATCATATGCAAAAGCTCTGCCCTGTGATGGACTGGCAGCCTTAACAGGGTGTTTCCTGCCTTCTGCCCGGTGAGCGCTGGGATAGGCTCCAGGACCCCCTGAGACCCAGGAGGATAAGCAGCTTAGATAATGTGTGTGTGTGTGTGTGTGTGTGTCCTGAAAAGGCAGGATTCTTTTCTCCTGTGGATGAATCTTTTTAAAGATTAAGGTTTTAAAGAGTTTTTCTTTCAAAATGATTTTTGACTACATTTTTTCCTGGCAAACAATAGCCAATGGCCATACAAATTTAAAACACTCATTAGATTCTAAAAGTATGATCAAAATAAAACATTTCATCAAAATATGTTTGATATATATGTCTGATGTTATTGTATTGATGCCTGGGCAAATTAATAATGGCATTGAACGATAACCATTGTTACCATTCACTCATGTTAGTTTGTTTATCTGGACCTTTGTAAGCAACAAATGTGATGTAATTGGACCTCCACAAGTTTTATCTGAATACTCTTGGCCTATTTTATTGATACTGACATTTTTGATAGCGACTTTTCTGTAAAATTTCTCACTGAAAACTTGCTACTGTTTCAGTATTTACTTTAGCTTGAATGAATTGAGTAGTTAATCAAATTTGTGCTAAATGTTTTTCATATGTGATAAAGCACTGACCTGCCTTGCCTTCATAAATTAACTTACTATTTACTGTACTATAATCATTGATTGCCATTACATAAATTTATAGTCTATTTCTTCCCCTCTTGTCACATTTATGATTCTCAGTATTTTTCTAAAATATTTTTCTGATCATGCAGAACAGAAAAAAATACTTACTGTATTTCTGTAACAAAACCTGGCACTGTAAAAGGCAAGAAACTGATATAAACTGAATACTGAATATGCATTAGAAAAAAACATGTTAATAACATCGCAGGTTTGACTTACAAGCCATTACATATATTGGCAAAATGAGAGAACTGCATTTTCACCTAGTTTTACCTTTGAATTGATGCATATAGGCTTTAGCTTCCTGACTTTGGTCCCTCCCCACCAACTTGTCTGACTAAATTTTCACCCCGCATTCCTTTTAATCTTATGCTCCTGACAAACATTTTGAAAGCCACTTCTGAATGTAATATTGTTGAAAGAAATGAACCAAGAAAAAAGAAAGAAACTTAAAATAAACTTCCTCTAATAGCTCACTTACAGCAGAGTGGTAATGTTAAACACTAGCTTACTCTGCTGAACTCCTTCCTCTTTAGCTGGAGGTGCCGGCCTTTCCAGCGATTACTGTAGCATAAAATAGCAGAGAATGAAAATGAATATTTAGGTAAAGGTCAGGGGTGTAAATCACTGGAGCTGAGTGGAAGTGGAGCAGCGTAGTTCACCTCCAAAGTGGCTGAGCTGCAAAGTGATGGTGGGTGCTATTATAGTTGAGTTGTCACATGCATTTTCAATCAGGCAGCAGCGGAGGACCCCGGGGGACTCAACAGTGGGGTCAGCGGTGAAGGTGGCCAAGAGTCTACTGTTTAATATTACTAAACTCAGTCCATCTCTGCATGTCTGAACTGCTGTCCAAAAGCAGTGAATGAGCTTAGCTATCCGAGCCAGGCTTCCAGGTGCTGAGCCCGAGTGATAACCTTCTGCTAAATGTCAGATGCATCTCTTTGAGGACGAACGCTCGCTGACTGGCGCTGAAACCAAATGAAGCATTAAAAAAGCCTCCTCACTGCCATTTCTCTATAACACTCAAATGTGTATTGGCATATTCATACAAGAGCCAGGTGAGTAAACAGTGTGACGCTAACAACAGAAAGACGTCAGAGTCACATTTTATACTGAAGGTCTCCTATGGCTTGTGTCGAAATGTTATCAATCTCAGCTGATTATCTTATTAAATCTGAGAGTTTGGACTAAGATAAGAGGCAGATTAAGATTTCAGATTGGGGTTAAATTTAGAGTTAGACTCACGGCCAGATGTACTGAGCCTTTGTGCTGCTTAAAAATATAATAATAATAATAATAATAATAATAATAAAATAACAAAAAAAGAGCAGCTAGACGAATGCACAAGCCTTGAACATGTGCTGAAACAATGTTGTCACTGTCGGAAAAAACTTTGTATCTCCATTTTTGTCATTATTTATTTATTTATTTCTTTATTTACTGAATTTAAAAATGTCTGCTGCCCTTTATACTATGGTTAAATTTTATGATGAATGGACCAATATCAATGCCCCAACATTACCTGGAAAAAAAAACTTATTCCATTAACTTCTATTTAAAGTTAAGAACGTTTTTCATTCTGTAAACTTAGTATTTTTGAGGTTTTGTCACATAAGTGGGAATATTTGCCAACAGAATAATAATTTTTGAATTTTTCCCTTGTTTGACTTCCCAAATTCTATTCTTTCTCTTCATTATCTCTTCATCACTGAACTTGCATTTTCTCTTTTTGTCCCAAGCCTGTCACTGCGTATGTTAAAACCTCACAAGCACAGTGCAGTTAGTGGTCTGCTTCTGTTCTAAAGTAGCAGGTATACTGTGAGTGGCTGTTAGCAAGACAAGCCTATCTAGTGCACTTAAGTAGCTATACAAATATGCTACGTAAATATCTATCACCCATTAAAAAGTTATGCATTACTATGGTGTATTTTTACTCCAAAGATAATTTTGAACGCTTTTCACTTAGAATACACTTTTCTGTTCTGATACCAATATTTAACCAATACTTAAAACTTAACTATCTGCAGACTACTAAGCAGGTACAGCATGTTTTTTGTGCATTGTTAAGCGAGAATATGCAAATCCAAGTGGTGTCTTAGTGGGCATACCATGTATACCTATGTATCAAGTAGACTATACCTCTGTAGGTTGTGTAATGACCAACAGCCCTAGAAAACTGAAGGTTAATTCAGACACACTGAGACTGCATGTCAAGTCACATTTTGTGCTCTGCCTTCTCATGTATGTATATCTACCCCGTGTAGGTTTAGAGTTTATGTTAAGTTAAATTTAACATACATTTAGCTAAATATCAGTTAATGATGAGGTCAACATCTACAAACAGCAGGGTTGACAGCTCTCATGGTTTTCGCATGAGGCTCACAGTTTTGCGTCTTTTCTCAAGCTCTCACTCTCTGCAAAGAGCCTATGTGTTCAAAACAAACTTGCACGTGGCTTTTTTTGTTCTTTTTTGCATTATAACATCCAATTGGGCCATATTGTAGCCTACTGATAAGACATTAGCTATATCTCCTGCAGCTCTGTCTTTTGTATGTCACTAGTGCGGTCTCAGAGTGTGTCTTGCCCTTTCACCTTGGACGAGCAAAGCACAGGGGGCAGTGGCAAAAATTTACATTTATTGAACTTTGACCCCACCATGCCCTGACCATGAAGTGCCCAGCCAATGACTGCAGACTATATTTTCAGAACCTTTTACTGTGTAAAAATGGTAAATATTAAGAAACATATAGTCAGTAATTTGAGTTTTCTTAAGTTATACAATCAGTTGCTGGAGTGGTAAATCCTGCCTTACATGATGTCTAGGAGCTGCTGAGCTTGCTTTTAATGGTGCATCGTTCCTGGTTTAAAACTGGCTTCAAACCTACATCCTTATGACAATTACCTGGAGTTAATTAGTGTTTAGTGCATGCAAAACTCAAAGTCTCACTCCATTCTCATTTCAGGCATCTAAAAGTCTCACTTTAGCCACTCTGACTGCAGTGGACTATCAAAATAAAGTGTTATTGAAGTTACTATTTGGAGCCACGGAAGAGCAGCTTCCTGTCAGAGCTGAGAGAGTGATGGCTGCGAGGACTGTGAAGCGCTATGCTGCATGGCTGTGCTCCGCTCTGAGGGTAATTAGAGGATTAGACAAATGTGAGGGAGGCAGCATGTTGTGTGAGTGCGTGAGATCTGCAGATTGAGACTAGGGTCTCACAGGGGGCACACAAACTCATGAGGGCAAGCTGGCACCAGCAGAGCCTCACTGAGCTGGCAGGATGGCAGGTGGGTGGAGGCTAGAAGTCAAGCTGATCCAGTCTGGTGCTACTGTCCTTGTGGGCCACAGGCCGTGATGGCCTGCCGCCAGTCACAACAAACAGTAATCCCACCTGCCAGTGAGGCGCTAATCTAATGTAATCTATTATATTAATCCAAATGTGTGGGCTGAGCAGTGAGCTCCACCAGCGCGTGGGACCTGAGTTTTCATTTCATCACATTCAGAGCCTGGTGACCCGCAGTCATCACTCTACAAACTTCTCTGAAAGTTGTCTGGAAGGATTCTTAAGCAGCCGGAGAAGCCCATCTGTCCAGGCCTAATTTTAGCAATGAACCGCTTACACAATAAACTGCATTCCCCATGCCAATGTGGGCCTGACTAATAACATAAACTGCCAATTATCTATTTCTGATCAGCTGCACCTGTGCCCAATTACGCCAGAGAAATGGTTCACGCTTGTGAACCATGGCGTTCTGAAGATGCCGAATGTCCACGGGGAGTGTGGAGGCTGTTGTGCTTTGTTTGAATATGGCCTGAAAATACTGAGCTTGGCACAAAGCATGACAGAGCTTCTCTTGTTCTCGTGTTCATAACCTGCTCTGGCTGTGAGCCCGCACAGCTTTTAATCACTCTTGACTTGCATGGATGTGGAGAGTTAAAGGGAGGAGAGGAGTTTGAGAGGATAAGATGGCTGTGAGGTAATGCCTTTGTAATTCTCAGCTTATCACAGATTTACTGCCTGCAGTAAATCTTATTCTGGGTTCCAAACTGTGCTATAACCTCTTCTCTTATAAGCAAGGGGTGGTATGAATCAAAGTTCTCAGAGTGAGAAAGCTGATCTAAGATCAGGATTTGTTTTTTTCATGTCTATGTGAAAATAACAATACAGACAACATGCACTTTTTAAGCTTTAGAAAGCTTAAGAAGTTCTAGAAATCCACCAATACACTTTTGTAAAATCCTTTCATAGTATCCTTACAGTGTACCATGTTGGTTGAGCACTAAAGATGAAATTCTGACAAATTCTTCAGAATGATAAAGGACCATCTCTAATAAGCAGTTGACCAAAACAGCAATTATAAAACAGGTAGCTCCAGTTCTGAAATGTATTTATTTGAGCCATTTTCATAGCTGCTGTAAAATACCTGATGTACTCATATCAACATATCAACTGAATTCTATTTTTTAAAAAAAGTTGTTTTCTGTTGATTTCTAAAGTAAAAAGAATAAGTCAGTAAACTATTTAAAAAAAATGTTAATGAAAATGTTAATGCAGAGTTACTGTATATTAATTAATAAAAAATTAAAAATAGAAAAAAAAGAATACAAAAATAGTAATGACAATCCAGAAAATATGACCAGAATTAAAAACGTTGATAAAACTGAAACATAAACTGGAATATAAAATGATGAGCTACTAGTTGTTCTGTATGTTTTAAAGTAATATTTACAACTTATTACTAGCCCAAGTTAAAAATGTAAATGTAAAAATATAAATGCCATGACCAGAGTGAGCTCTGGCTCCACGGCTTTTGATAGGTGGTCCTAAACACCAGTATTTTTACCTGTGTGCTTCATTTTTAGTACTCTCATCTAGCGGAATCGCGTCCTCATGTGTACAGTTCATTAATTTTCCTTAACATGAATGAACCCAGGAATAAACAGGAACTGTTATTTATTGGAAATGAAATAAATCAGTGTTAATGTTTTTAACCAATGACATCAGTCAAGCAATTGTTTGTTGGTTAACGGTTAACAAGCTAAACATTTACATTGATTTTGTGTACAACGTTGGTTTTAACCATACAAATCTTCAAACAAGATATGGATTGCTGAACAAACAGCACTGTAAAATCACTACAGGTAACAGAGATACAGCTGAAAATGATGGTAATAATGCTAAAACTAAGTGCCATTATTAGGCATCATTTCCTAAAAAGCTTGAATTCAACATGTCATGCGAGACAGGTGACACTCACCCCTCGGAAGTTGCTCATGGCCTGAAAGTAGATGAGGTAGTTCTTCCTGGGGTCCAGTGGGCTGTTCCAGTAGCCATTGTAGGTGTGGTTGTCGCCCACAGTGAAGGGTGTGGCCTCAGGCAGGCTGCTTGGGGGCAGTTCAGCTGTGTAGTAGTGTGGAGTGCCCCGAGCCTGTGCCTCTCCGTGTGAAATGGGCACAGGGAAACAATCCTGCATCCCCAACTCCCTCTTCACTTTCCTCACACTCTCCTCCTCCACCACCACCTGGTATGTACTGCACACAGAGCAGAGAGTGCCATCAGCCATGCAGCCTTTAGGGACAGCTGGGGTTATTTAAATATATGGATATGCAATCTCATCCTAGTATTTGGTACCTGGCTATTCAAATATGTCATGTATAATGTGGAACAAAAAGCAATGAAAAAATTGTATTATCTTTATTTTTAAAAGTGTTTGTGACAGAGCGTGCAATGCAGAACGGCAGAGAATGCCAAACAGCTGATACTGCATGTCATGTAAGGTGAAATATATTAAGCAAAGCCAAACATGGACATATTCCAAACATAAGGATTACAATTTTACAGTTTAAACCTGAGTTACTGTTCTGTAGATGAAACGGTAGCATATTAAATCACATCCACCTAAAACATAAAGCTAAATCACTTAATCAACCCAAACAATCAGGTACAATCATTTCTTAGGCTAGCTGCATACAATAATGTTATACTCTCTATATTTTCATATGTATTATTAATAACAACATGAAAATATTTTCTCTTCTGGATACTATTTGTTTAAAAATGTGGACATTTGAATAACAAAATGGTTTAAATGCCAGTCCCCGGTAGCCATACTATGTCAACACACCTTAAACACAGAATGCGAAAGTAGTAGAAAGAATATTTGTTTTATGAGGATCACCATACCAATTACTTAAAAAAACAACAAAAAAACACAAAGCAGGTAATCAGATTATATCACTGAGACTCTGTAATACTCAAGATTATTTCACTTATCAAAGTCTTAATCACGTAATCTGCAGAAATACAAATTGAACACCCAGCATGTGCAATGTTGGTATTACCAAGAAATTATAATTTAATAACACTGATCCAAAGCATGAATTTAACTAGCTATAGGTGTAAACAGTGCAGTCATGAAGTCATCATGATGTCATTCTCACCTGACTGGAGCGCCTCGGCCCTGGGCGGGACGGAGCAGCACTGTGATGGTGCCTTCTGTCTCGCTCAGCGGAGACGGCATGTCTCCATAGTCGAAGGTTGGTGCTTCACACAAAGAGAGAGAGAAGGAAGGAGATTGAGGAAAAAAAACATAAAAAGGAGAGAACGAGTCACAGTTAATTTGTCAACTACAGCTTTTTATTTTAACTGACACATCATGTGTCATACTGGTAAGTCATGAGAAAAGCAAGAGCTGAACTACTTCACAGCTATGAGATTCTTGCAACTCATCAAGTGTCTGCCTGTCTCATTAAAAAAAAAAGTGGTGTAGCCTGTAGCAGACTGAGATAATATTAATGATCAACCTCCGCCTCAAGCAAATAAACACTTGCAATAACCTACTTCCTACTCATCCCACCTGAATCCATGCTTACTAGTTGTAGGCTATAAACAACACCTTATTCTCTCCCCTGCCACCCTGACTCTCCTATCCAACCATGGACCTGCTGGTTGTCTAGGATACAGAGTGCAATTAAAAGGCATGGAGTGAAGGTGAATACGAGAATCCTTCCCCGGAGAAGTCTGGCCAGAACATGAACAGCTTTCTTTAATAATGCCAGTCAATGGGCGATGGGGAGGAAAGGCAAACAATTATGGAGAAATCAATGATTATGGCATTAGAAGGCGTTTTGGAAAAACTGCAGTGGTGAAAGCAGGCTTCAATTAAAGTGAGGCATCTAATGGCATTGACACATTCAACACATCAACGTCCATTCAGTCAGAAAATTACTGCGACGAGCGCTTATACACACACCGGTGAGGAAAATACAGAGCACACTGAGGACTCACTCCCACACACACACACGTCAATATGTCAAGTCTCACAAGACATATGAGTACAATATAAAAGTTCAGAAGTTGCACATACACTGGTCTAGACAGTATGCAACAGACCAAAAAAAGAAAGAAGTTTCTATATATTCACTGATCTGTTTGGTGGCTCTCTGAGCGTAAGTGTAATTTTCAAGGGAGGGATGAGAACTTAACTCACTCAACAATTTTAACTTGGCCATGTAAAATATAATTAATGTATCAGTATTACTAATACTGGTATAATACATTTTCATTACAAAAAGTATTCTACCAAAAAAAAAAAGTAATAAAAAAAAAAAACAACAACTACAACAAAAACAGTTTCATTGCCTCACACTGAAGTTCCCTCGTCAAGCATGTCATGTTAAGCTAAAGACCTTCTGCTAGTAATGACATGTCTCTTGATGTGTTTAGCACAGATTTTGCTACTGTCTTAGAAAGACCAATGTTCAATACAAAATACCTTTAAATCTTCCTGGCCTGACTGGCTCAGATTTTTTCTTAGTTCATTGAGGAAACAAAAAAACAGGCGTGTGTGGCAAGACGTTAGGTTTTATTTACAAGGCATGGTAAGTATTTAGTACTTAACTGTCTTCTTGACATTACTATTTTAGCAACGTAACAATATAACATTTCTCCTATGGTCCAGTTCCCAGGAGGTAACATCATACACTTCCATACTGTTTCCTGCTTTCAGTTTTGATGCTGCTTTCTTGAGGAGCAGGTTGATGTCAGGTCTATATTTAAGTTGAAACTTTTGTTCTTGTAGTCGGCATAAAAAAAGACGTGCGAGGCAGATGCTGACAGACATGAGGTGAGAATACAGCTGTAGGGAAGAAGTGGGGCAAAGATGTTTAATATGCTTTTTCATTAATTGCATCCTTCACCCTTTGCAGTGTCCACATATGTATGTATAAATTTTTTTTATGAATATGACATTTAGAACAATCTCTTTTTTTTAGAAGCTTATGCCCTCAGATCAGTGCAGAAGGTCCTTTTTAACCCTTGCAATGTTCAACCCAAAGTTACGCCCTCTCTGAGGGTTAAAGTGTGTAGCAATATCAAACGCAGCTCTCCTTTTACTGGCCAACTGCTTTTTCTGTACCAACTGCTAGGCTCTAAATTCATTATTAAAGAGCCTTACACTCCTCACACACAAACAGTGTTCCCACGTGATATTTTATATCTCTTTTCATAGCAAAAATACACAAAAAAGAAGTGAATCTCAGGATGGTGCCCATCATTAGTAAAGGTCTCTCAGGCATGGTGGTGACAGAGACTACGGTACTGAAGCTCAGGCTTGCTGCTGTAGGCCACGGTGGAAAAATGGTGATTGCCTGGCTGATTGGAGCATATGGTGTTGTTTAGTGTGCTCGGCTCACAGGCATTGGGGAGATGACAGTGGCGTCAGTGTCTTTGAGAACAGAGGAAATACTGTAATGATGTTTTTTCTTTTCTTTTTTTTTTTTTTTGAAGGAGCTGCTCTCAGTTTTGGAGCAGCTGCAGAAATACTGCTCAGGCAAACACACCCACACACCACTGCATAATGACTCCGACACACACACACGCTTTTGCACATACAGATAATGACTTATGAGCATCATGCGCACACACACAAACACATACTCAACTACCAAACATCAGCATGTGCAAACACACTCAGATACTTCAGAAAAACACAGATACTTCAGAAAAATATACCACTGCAGATGAGGCTGATGGATATCATCAGTGGAAGATGGACATACATCTGTACAGTTTCATATTGTCCTTTAAATTAAACCTCAGAATTACAGATACATAAATGTAATTATTAATTTGTGCATGATTAAGCACATAGTTACCAGTGTTGATGAGGTTACAAAAAATAGCCCATTAAAAATAACTAATTACTTCTCTTAAATTGCAATGGGATTATAATACTAATTACTCACTGGATAAAGTGTCTTAATACTCATCACTAAAACATACGCAAATCTGTACCAGCTGGAAAGCTCAATTGAAAAACACAGTATTTCTTTTAAAGGGGACCTATCATGCTCACTTGAAATGTCCACGATTTTAATTTTGGGTCTACTAGATGAGCCCAGTGTGCTCTGATTGGTCAGCTCATTCACTCTGCAGGTAGGTGGGCAATAAGGATTGTGTTACTAGATTATGTAATCTTGTAACAAAGGGCTGGAATTCCAGCACATTTTGGGCAGCTGAGAAATGTGATTTCTGTGGGAGAGAGTTACTCTCACTGGCATGTACTATAGGCTTTGTAACTTTGCAGAGTGTTTAAATGCACAAAAAGCTATAACACAATAAAGGGAAGGGAAAAACCAGAAATGCATAATAGGTCCCCTTTAAGTAATTATTCAGAAAAAAATAGCCAAGCACAGTAAACATCACTTAAAAGCTCTGTCTGGGTGAAAAACACGGTCAGTTGTGCTTTAAATTATGAATAGCTAGTGTAACTAAAAACCTAGAAAGTAGCCATTAGAACCCTGAATAGCTGTATCGTAAGTAAAATTTTCTATGAATGTAAAGCTTGCAGAGCTGTTCCTGTATGAAAACAGAGTCTGGCCTGGTTAGGTGATTTTGGAGTTCTCTTTGCTTCAGCACAGTGGTATTTATCCATCATGTTAGCACAATTACATGCTTCGACAGAGTGTTTGCAGAGTTTACAGCACTACCCGTGCTCACGCTGCCCTGGTCATATTCACCATACAGTGTCATGCAGGAGGCTGTCGCAGGGAGCACATTACCCAGAAAATGCATATGCAAATTACCCAAAAAAAGACAGGCACAGATAATCTACATAGAGGAAATGTATGTTTTAAATGTATATCATTGATATTGCTCTGTTAGAGGCATACAAGTAATGCAAATAAAGGAATTATTATTGTCTTATAAATTCTTATTAACTGTAATGTGATTACAAGAATTTAAACTGTTATGAGTTACATTAATGTGTTACAGGAAAAAGTGATGAGACTGTAAACACGCTACTTTTTACTGCATTATCCCAAAAACATTTATATTCGATTTACACTCTGTATCGACAGGTTTGAGAATGTCTTTCTGACTTTCATTTCAGTGTAAAAAAAATACAACTTTATTTTTCTTTACAAGACTACAACTTTTTTCCTTACTCAAAACAATATTTTACGCACAACAGTAACTTTTCATCAAATTCCAATCATAACACAATTTTTAAACACAAATAGTTTCAGCTGAAAGTTTAGAAACCACGCTTTCAACAAAATTTCTCCTTGTTCCAAATAGCTATGAGTGAAAACATTTAATATAAATTTTCAACATGCTTTTGTTATTGACTCCTGCCACTTCTAAAAGTTGCAGTCCTTTAAAAAGACAGAGTTAAGAAAAGAGTTTCTCTTTCTTTGGGAATTTAATGGCTGCCAAGTTTCAGAGGAGTGGTTGAATTCTATTTGACTGCAGCTCCTGAATCATAATGCAGGGCTTACCGACCTTACTTGCTATATCTTAAGGCACACCCACACACACACACACACACACACACACACACACACGCACACACACACAGACAGGTTCTTTCTGACTTGCTCTCTTATGGCTTATTCATAGCATTTTAAAAGTGTAATGTTCCCGTTGTAGCCCCTCAAATGCTTCCCGAGGTTCTCAGCCAAAACTTCAAAAAACCTTCTAAATGCCACAGATTTCAGTTTAGAGCTAAATTTAAACACTGTTTAATTAATTTAAAGTGCAGAATCCAGTTTTACCGGAACGCTTATTATTCTCTACACATTCAGTAAACTAGACAGGAACACACAGGACTGCACAAACATCAGTCATACACACTCACTCCTCTCTCTCTCACACATACGCAGACATGCTCCTTACCCGAGATGTTGGTGGTGATTTCAGTTAGGGCAGTCTGGCCGAAACCCTTGGCCGTTCGGGCTCGAACAGAGATGAGGTAGGTGGTGCCGGGGTGCAGGTTGGAGAACATGTGGTATGTTTCATTTCTCAGCTTGGAGACAGTGCGCCGCGGGCCCGGCACATTAATGCCAGGGTCAGACGACTCAATGCTCTGGTAACTAATCTGGAATTAGACACATTAAGCCTAATTAAATGACACACACAGTAATTTATATTTGGCATCCCAATATAGAGTAACGTCTACAGTACTGTGATTTTATTTTCTGGTATGGTGATCATGGTGCTGTCATGTCTCATGGTTCAAAAATGTACAGAGGGCTTTATCTCAAATTTAGCTTTTAAAAGCACTTCATCATGTAAAGATTTGTTTAAATTTAATAATTGAATAATTAGGCAAAAAAAAATAACATTTACATAATTTTGTAAGTCCAGATGTAGCTCATCAGCCAAGATATCTTTGGTGTCCATTATCTATGAAAATCGACAAAAGTATCAAATTCAGGCTTGAAGATGGCTGCTAATATTGAGATGTGGCTATGTGGCAAAAGTTTGTCCATTTTTACAGATACCAGTATAAGAGAAACTACATAAGCAAGTCTATTTGACATTGCTTAATAACTCAAAAAAACTATTATAAAAATGAAAACTAGCCATGAAAATGTCCACTGAACCATGAACTAAAACTAAATAGTATTACAGAGGGGGACAAATTGATTTTGATGTTTTCAGTGCATGAAGAACAGTCTAGAAGTGGATTTTTCTAACCTTAAAGCTGAATACCCTGAAGGCTGAACAAGCCTGCAATCAACCTGAGCACATTCTGCTGTTAAACTAACGTTGTTAAAATTCATCCAAAGGAAATGATAGAGCAAAAGAAAACAAATAATTAAAAAAAAGAGAAAAATTTCAAACTATTAATCCCCATGCAATAATATGGAGTTGGTCCCCCTTTTGCAGATATAACAACTTCCCCTCTTCTGGGAAGCTTTCTACAAGATGTTGGAGTGTGTCTGGGAATTTTTGCCCATTCATCCAGAAGAGCATTTGTGAAGTCAGACACTAATGTTGGATGAGAGGGTCTGGCTCGCAATCTCTGTTCTATTTCATCCCAAAGTTGTTTGTTGGGGTTGAGGTCAGGGCTCTGTGTGGGCCAGTCAAGTTTTTCCACACCAAACTCACCCAGTCATGTCTTTATGGACCTTATGGACCTTTGCACTGGGGCACAGTCATGCTGGAACAGAAAAGGTTCTTCCCCAAACTGTTACCACAAAATTGGAAGCATACCATTGTACAAAATATCTCAGTACGCTGATGCATTAAGATTTTCTTTCACTGGAACTAAGTGGTCTAGCCCAACCCTTGAAAAACAACCCCATAGCATTATCCCTCTTCCACCAAACGTTAAAGTTGGCACAACGCAGTCAGGCAGGTAAGGTGTTCCTGGCATTCACAAAACCAAGACTTGTCCATCAGACTGCCAGATAGGGAAGCAGGTTTCATCACTCCACAGAACACATTTTCACTGCTCCAGAGTCCAGTGGCAGCGTGCTTTATAAGGGACACCCCTGGTGACTGTGACATGTCCTCTCACACAGAGCTTGCCTGTCATTATCTGACCTTTACCACTGAATTTGCACTGCTCCCAAATTCCTTGTAAAAATTGTGTTTGGTTTTATTACGTTTGGTTTTTGGTTTACTGTAAAACTGTGTTTGGTTTTATTCATTATTACACTGTTGGCAACACTTTGAAGACCTTGTGTATTTTTTAAATGAACTGTGTCCCTTATCGATTCAGTAATTCAGTAATGCAGTAAAGCATTTTATTCTTCAATATAGCACAATCCTGTAGTATAAGGGACGGGTGGCATCCCTAGAAGCCACACACGTCTTGGTTGACAGACTATATTTGGAGTAAAAGGAAAAATGTGTAAATCTGCGTTTTTCACCAAACAACACATTCAGCATTATTTACACCTTTCACAACTGTTTGTGCTAAGACTAGCATCCATGTTACCATGTGCATATGCAGTGAATCTGTAAAGAACAATGTGATGCACTAGGAGATCGAGTGTTACAGATGAAAGCCAGTGCTGATGGATCCTGCTTCACTTTATTCATCACCTTTTTGATAGAGACCAAAAGCTGGTGGAGATTAGCACAGAGAGCCTTATAATACCCATGTGCCCCTGATAAGTGTGTGGAGAGGATTTGGAAGCACTCGATGCCTCTGCACACAGCCTCTATTGTGCTCTCCATATAGAAGGTATGGATGATAGCGGTGGGAGGGAACCAGAAGGACCTGCCAGCCCCCCCCGCCCCAGGATCCACTGTCCCGCTCGATGGGGCTCAGAGAAAAGCAGTCAATGCCGTAATCTGAGAGCAATAAGAGAGGATTTCACCCGGTGCCATATAAAGCTCTGCCCTCTCTCTTTCTCTCTTACTCTCTCTCTCTTTCTCTCCTTCTCTTTGCCTGAAGAGATCTGGATGATTCTGCCACACACAAAACTCCACCCCAGCCTCCACTTTATATGTCAAGCCACAAATCCCATTTAATAACATCCTTGAGACGACATTGAAAGATGCAGGGCCTAGTAGGCTCGGGGACAGAGGGGGCACAGCTAGCGAGGAGAGGTAAATCCGAGCGACGTGATAGGTGAAAACTTCACGGGTGGCGGACGGATGCCCGACGGAAGAGGTGACATTCAACAAGAAGAGGTGATCAGACAACTCCGTTGACTTCATCTGGGCCATAAACAAAAGGGACCTTCACTCTAAAGGTGAGACAGTTTAATACCTGACAGAGGCAGAGCTATTTTGGCGACAGACTGAGAGGAGCATGGCTGTGGGAGAGGGTGATGGTCAAGCAGCTGTGAGCAGAGTGAAGAAAGACACAAAAGAACAGTGGAGCAGAGAGGCAGATGCTGACTGTGGAAGACCTGCTGGACATTCACCAAGCTCATGACTGTAGCTGATAAACTAGGAACTACACTGAAAGACTACAAGACAGTTCAAGCCTCATCTGGGAAATATGTTACCATTCCTGACCCTCTTTTTTTATCACATCTGTCCTAACAACCAGTAGCACTTTTATGAACACTTGCAGGCTATTAGCTAGTAATATGGAATCCTAAACATTTTAGCATTTATGTTAGTTTATATTTATATATCCCTGTAATGAAGACTTTTGGGTTAAACATTATTCTGTCACTTACAGACAACTTAGTTGGTACAGGAGGGACCAATTAGAGAAGGGCTGCTCTTACGGCTCTGAAGCCGCAGGCAGAATGCATGGCCAGGTCCCAATCACTGATTTGAACATGCTGATGAACCTCGACGGGCCTGCACCCAGCAGTAAACAGACTATAACAACTCAGCACTTACAGCTACCTGAGATAGGCCACTTAATAAGCCAAGTGTATACAAACTCACACGGGAGCATTTGTGGCAGACGCCATTCATTAAAATAACTCACCAACCTGTCAGGCAAATGCAGCAAGTTCATACTGCATCATTCTAATAGTCACACATTTATGTCTATGAGATTCTTCCCAGTGCAAGTATTCCTTCAGTACTTGCTGTTAACTCACTCCTCTATCCTATATTTTTCATGTATTGTTTTTCTTGTATTTTACTTTTCTAACACTTGCAATGTTTATTTGTGTTTATGTATGAAAAATGTCACATTTCATTCTTACAAGACCATTCTTTCCAATTTTCTTTTTCCTTATAATTAAACAGGATCTTACATGACTGACAGGCTGATATATGTAAATGACCCCTGTTCTGATTGGCCACCCTCTACTGTGTCTCATTCAAAAAGGAGACCAGTTTAAAAGACTCATTAAAATGCATTAAAATGTTTAAACACCTTAATTTCCACATATGGACTGCGTAGACCAGAAGGTGAGTGGTCTGTTTAAACACTACTTCAAATTTGCTTATTTCAAAAAGCAAAGAACATTTGTTTTTTCCACGATGTGGGCCCTTTTACTAATTTTCCGCAAATACACTGGAACACAAGAGACTCTGCAGCCTTTGAACTCAGGTATTCACTGACCATCATGAGTAATGGCAAAGGGAATGTTATGGCTTTGTGGCTTGGAATCTGTGGTGAGGGTGTGAGACCAGACCACCCACACAACCCCTACCAGAAGACAGACATACACAAACTTTCAGTTTGTGCTTCTTTCTTTTCTCCACTAATGAGGAGAAGAGGAGGAATGAGGGAGGTTGTCAGAATAATTGCTACAATGGTGGCCTAAGTGATAATTATCCGAGTAAACACTTGAACTCTGGTCGGTAACTCTATCCTGAGAGCAATGCCCTGCAGCTAAACACCCCAAGTTAATGTTGACAAATTCAGGGCTCCTTTGCATTGATTTTTTAAAATGATTTTTTGTGCTACATCATTTGAAATCGTGCATAACAGAGTAAGGCATGTTTATTTGATTTGTACAGTTAAAGGAACACTTCACAGAAGAATCAAGTTTGTGAAATTTTCTCCTTTCTCCAAACGTATTTGATCAGTCAAGAGCTTAGCTGGCTGAACACATCTTGGGTAAGGAGAAATTTCTGTGAATGTATCAGTGAACCACCTTTTTTAAAATGAACGACTAGACACTAGACTATGAGAGCAAGTGACATTAATGAAGCACTTACCTCATACTGAGTGATGAGACCATTGGGTTCCACTGGTTCCTCCCATTTGAGGAAGATCATGTCATCCAGAGGGGTGAAGGTCAGGGACTCTGGGGCAATTCCTCCAGGAACTGTGAGAGATTAGTTTAAGATGTGTGTGTCAAGGGATTGGGGCTTGATCATATTAACACTGTAAAACATTTTACTGTAAATTTACAGTAAGTTATTGGTTACTAGTTGTTCACAGTTATTTACTGAACCACATTAACAGTAAATAATAGTACTAGAGCAACCTTATACTGTGACTTCACAGTCATCTGGACTACAAGATTACTGTGATGTAGCTGTATTCTACTTTACACTTACAGAAATAAGCTGTAATTGAAATACCGTAATCTCCAGTATTTTTACAACAGTAAAAGTAATGCAAATCAGTAGCCAGTAATTTAATGTAAATTTACATTTGCAAAAAAACTTCTCATTATACCACACCTGTAAATATTTTAAATATTAACAGTTTTTAAAAACACCAAAACCTGAACTGTCAGAATAAAAACACTCAAAATACTTTTATTCAAATGTTAACATTTTGTTAACTCTCAGCTGCTTTCAGATCCGATGATAGATGAACATCAACTGCACAGTAATTTGTTGTGTTATTACAGAAAATATATAAAGATGAGTTGACCTCACAATGAAATGATGAATACAGTATTTTACTGTGAAAAAAATGTGTTAAATATTGTGACATCCTGATAATAATTAGCAGCAAATACACAGTAAGATATCCAATGCTTACAGTGTTTGTGTCTATTTAAACTGTGAATTATGTGGGTGTTATTTCATAGGTGGTTTTATTCTGTAGCATACTGTCAGTGTTCCAGGATAAGTGTTTTGCTACAAGTCAACATTCATCTCTGGGCTCATAGCTAAGCACCACAGCAACATGTTCAAATATTACACTGTATGATTGTCAAACAGCCGTAGGAATGAAAGCTGTTCAGCTTTAGATGGAGACTGAGGTTGAACACAAAACAAAGAACATAGAGAGCATAATGCAAAACAATGAATGACCATGAAGAGCATCTGACAGCCATTAAAGGAAGAGCAATAAGAGGACCTCTAATCCCACGTGGGGTGAATTCTCTCATTACAAAGCTGATAGATTAACAATGACTTCTACACATCATTGAGGCACAGCAAATTAAAACTGATAGGCTATTTTTAACAGCATAAAAGAAGTGATTGAGACACAGACACAGAGCCTGTAAGCTTAGCTAAATGACAGAGACAGAAAAAGCAATACTCAACAGTGGGCAAGGCTAGTTTACACAGAAGAGAAGCAATTATGCTTTAGAGAGAAGGCAATGTGGCACTCATGTCTACAGAGCTTTCACAAATGGCAACATAAAGCTACAGTGAGTGACTCGCTATGCAATGCTGAAGTTGATAAGAGGGCTCCTTATTTAGCCCCACAGCATTAGCATAGAGTTATTAACACTGAGAAGGGAAAGAGTTGGAGTCAGAGAGTAAGACAGACTAGAAAAAGAAAGGAGAAACAGAGACTAGAGAGATGACAAACTAGTGCAGCAAAGCATCATTACTTTTTTCTAGTTTAGTCTTCAAAAAAGACCTTTACACATCAGACCTAATGTGTATGCAAGAACAGAGAAAGCTGAAATTTTAGGCAACATAAATATGGCATGTGCATGGGCACCAACTTAGGTTAAATATTTAAATATAGAAGGTAAACATTCAAAAAGGGTTTTTAATGATAAACATTAGGATAATACCTAATTCAACTACAGACATTTAATTTTGGGGAAAAGACATGGAAATTCATTTTTGTTATCATAAGCTATTATAATAATAGATAACATGGGCATCAAAATGAAAAGCACTCACATTAATTGGTCAGAGCTGAGACAGTACCCTGCTTTATGAATTTTATTTTATTGAGCAAAGAGGCTGATTTAACTGTTTATCTGTTTGGTAAAAGGACATCTGTAAATGGTTTTTGCTGAAGCTCAAACGCTGTATGTGAATGGGAAACGTGTGTAAAAACTACAGCATATTTAATAAAATAATCACTACATCTGAAAAATGTTACATACAAACTCAAAGCACTCATTTCTGCCTCTTCTGCTGTTCCTCCTACTCTATGAGAATGTGTCCCCTTGGGTTGCCAGCTATTCAACACTGGGATCAATTTACAATTATAAGAGAATTTGTTCTCGTTTTCAAACCTTTTTCCACAGCCACAGTAAAAGAAAGTGGTTCAAATAAAAACAGGCCCAGGCTCCCAAATGCTGCAGCCATCTAAGTGTTGTCCCTATCATTAGGAGATCGCAAGTTTGATCTCTGGTGATGCTACAGCCATTCGTGGCCAGGAGTCCAAGAGAGTGCAATTGGCCTCGCTTTCTCTGGGTGGGTGGGATGACGCCCCCACAAACTAATGAACAGCCTAAATAAAATGATAATAATCACTTAATAATTGACATATACAAATAATATTTAACAGCAACAGAAAGTAATAAACTAGTTCTAAATAGAAGTAATCACAGGAACAATCGTGTGAATCATGTGAATTGCTTTCTTGATGGGCTACAGAAACAGCAGAGCAGAGTGACAGTCTGACAATCAGAGACCGAAGCTGTGGAAAACGCTCTTGGTAAAGGCAAATGCACAAAAATAAAGGCAACTAAAAGGAAGTCTATTATGTGGCAGTCCTTTTCAACCATGACTAATGCAGATGTAGACCAGTTCTACAGGTCTGCGGGCAGGAGCTTCACAAAGTGTTTAGGCTGCACATGGGAGCGGGACAAAGAGTTTAGGTTGTGCGTGGGAGTGGGACAAGTGGTGCTGATTTTCCATGGAGCTGGACAGCCAATCATATTGTTGGTATGAGGCACAGTATTAGTAGACCAATAGTGTCATTTCTATAGTCAAGCTTCATGCTGATATTCAATACCAGAATGAAGACTCAGTGTGGCATTTAATTGGTGAAAACACAAGTATGTTACTCTGCAGAAAAAAATCAAAGTCAAGATGTCTCCTGCATGGCTTCAGCCACCACACTGGATTTGATAAATTCCATCAACAGCATACTTGATTTAACATAACGAAGCACTGATTAAACTTGGTATTGAACAATAATCACAAGGAATCCTAGACTGCCACAAGGAGAGGTATGGAAAGGGTTAAAAAACACAGTGACTTTTCTTAAAATCATTACTCACTGTATTAATGCTTTTGTCTTTATTCTAATGTTAGTGTTACAGCACATAATTACTTACTGCCCAAATAAATAACTTTCTTAGGTGCCTAAAACCATGGGGCATTATAATGTTAGATGAATTAGGCTGTTTGTATTGCTTCCTTTTTAATGACACAACCACAAAGCAGTGAACAGTTGGTGAGGGATGAGATCTGACTGGCTGTAATAAAATTGTAGCTTTAACTTAAACAGTGCACGACTACTGTAGGCTTTGAAAATATATAAATAAAACAATAAAAAACACACAGGTCTTCACTACGCTGAATTTAAAAGTGCACTTTTGCATGATCTTAAAATCTGGGGGTGCTGCAGCCCCCTTAGCAACCTCTTTTCCTGCACCCATGCATGTGTGTGTGTGCAGGATATGCTGGAGAGAGAAAACATTCAGATGCACTGAATCTATCACTTTCTGCTGTGACAGCCTACAAGGAAGAGTTGCTGATTGAAGCTTTTGAAAAGTGTTGATAATGGAGGCTTTTCTCTCTCTCTCACACACAGACACACGCGCAAATACAATGCTATGCACACACACCAAAAAGCTTGTGTTTTGTCTTATATTTTCCCAACGGAAAAAATGATTTGTCCTTCATCCAGGAATCTTAATGCTGTTACGGCCAGATATAATGCAGAAATAAGCACAAAATCTCCCCCTTCCAGCTCCTCTGCGAGCCTTTGTGAGAATAATTAATTTTTCATCCACATCCATAGAACAGGGTATGCGTCTTTATTATGCTGATGCTGACTGGATCAGAGAGAATTGTTTTTACTCGTACTTTTCCCTAGACATGCATCAGGAGATGAATGAAGACAAGTTGAGACTGCCAAGCCTTCCCTTCTTCCGCTCAGCGCTGAAGAAGAGGTTGCCAAACCACAGCAAAGTTTTATGGAGTCTGTTTTAGTTACAGTACATTTGTGTGTGATAAATCAAACCCCCAATAATTTAACTGCTACTAATGATAGCATTCCTCACCATCTTCCTCCATCTGGAAGGTGACCTCTTTGCCCTCTTTCTTGCCCTCGGTGTTGGCGAGGGCCAGGCGGACGTGGATGGTGTGATAGGGTGGCAGATCTCGGAGGGTGAAGCGTGAGGTGTTGCGCTCCACAGCTAGGCACTCTCTAACCGTGGTGTTGTGTCCGCCACCGCCCCCCGCTGTGGCATAGCGGTAGCACAGTGAGACAGAGTAGGTGTGGCAGCGTGTCAGGTTAAAGGCCAACGGCTCCCACTGAAGGGTAAGTTGACGAGCCTGGACATCTACTGCTCTCAGACCACGCAGCGCCCTCATAGGCTCTGAGAGAGAGACAGAGAGAGAAAGGGTTATAACATAACTGTTATTCGTTGCCTTTGTCATTTCACATTATCATAAATATGGAGGAAATCTGTCCTTTATGAAGAGTATTCTGTGCTACCCCTTTTCTTAAAAGTGAATGCCATCATTGTTTTTTCAAAATATGGGCATAATTCAGTTGTTGAGATGTAAACAAATTCATTAGCGTGGTTTAATGTGAAATGCTGAACTGTAGAGAAACATATTGACTCTTTCTTCTTTACAATGATGGTGACAGCAGCCATGGATCACAATATTTACAACACAAACATCAGCTTTTTTTACTATCCAAAATCAGTGACCCTACATGTGTCTTCTTATAAGCTAATGTTGATAATGTTAAAATTGTGGTAAATCAGAAAATATAAGTTGTGTTTGAAGACTATTTTGCCTTACAATGCTCTGCATGTATCTCTCTGTCATCAATTTTTTTTTTTTTTTTATGCATTTTAGGCCATTTAGGACATGCATTTAAGTCTTATCTCAAAACTATTGTAGAACTGTCTCAGGTAGTGTAATTGTAACTATTACTGGCAATTATTTTCTGTGAAAAAGCTTTTAGAAGCATTCAATGCTTTGGATATCTGATTCCTGCCAGCATCACTAAAAAGTTTCTCTAAAATTGAGTATTTCATATCAAATCAAATCACTCTGAATGACTTCACATAGTTACATCATAATGGTTTAACCCCTTACAATCCCAAGTTTGTTACATACTAAAGCTTCTTATTTAATAACTACAGGGACTTCAACTGGTTGAGCCATTCTTAAATTACAGGAGCGTGTAATAAATCTTTGGGCCTGTCAGCAGGCCCTGGCCTTAATTTTGCAGAAATCTTAAAAAATCAGTAGATGTCTCTTTTAAGGCAATCATAATAGTGAAAAAAAACATGAAATGCAATGCACAAATGACACAATTTTTCATTTGTGACATGTGGAAAACATGACAAACTGCGATGGACTGGCGACCTGTCCAGGGTGTATCCTGCCTTCCGCCCAATGACAGCTGGGATAGGCTCCAGCACCCCACCACGACCCAGAAGTATAAGCGGTTTAGATGATGTGTGTATGTATGTTGCACGATCTCCATTAAGTCTTGATGGACATGCAGGGAGGACAATGGGGGTCATATGACCAAAATTCAATGATGCACTTAGCATTTCATTTTGGCATGTTGAAAGCACAATGAAATGGAATGTAGTTCTTGTGGGTTGCTTTTTAATGTGGATTACATTCACATCTAACATAAATTCAGTATCTAATTCTTAAAAAAGCAAATCCTCACTAACTGTTTTTCAGTGAACTGATGCCACTCATCACTAAGAAAAATGATTATCATTTCTGTACTGTATTTCATGTTTTTCCCCCTGTTATGACTGTTTCAGATCTAGGCTCATATTCACACAGTCTGTCAGAGTATGAATGCTGGTCTAGGATTCCTGTTTTATTTATGATGATGTTTTAACAATACAGGCCCATGGAATCTTCTCCATAGTCCATGTGCATCTACTGTTCATGAGAAGACCACTTTGTAGCTTGTTAGCCACCTGTAGGGGGCACCACCATGTCCAAAACAGGCCCCCTGCTACCAAGTGTGAAACTCATGCCAATTAAGTTAATTAATAGGACAGGCTGTTTGTTACCCTCTCTCTCTTCCACCATTTCCCGCCTACATGTCACTGAGCAAATGAAGTGCCTGCCTGCTCTTTGCCTAGGGGCCATGCGGCGACAAAAATACAAGCCCCAACCAAGGACGTCCAATTCTGCCAGTTATTGTTACTGCTGGGTCATTGTATCCGACCGCTTATTTTTAGAATGCCACTGCTTATGCATGGCTACTGCTGGGTTAATGCTGCCTTCATTTGGCTGGTGCAAAAGGAACAGCCACCTCTTTTGGCCTGCTAAGCCCATGCAATATCGGCTGAGGAGACAGAGAGAGCCACTGTCCTCGAGAGCACAGCCACCCCTGTGTTTCAGAGACAGGCGCAGGCAACGAGGCGGGTGAGTAAAGGACACTATTGCACACCATCAATGAATGCATTTGTCATGCTCCATTATTAACAAAATCAATGCATTTTTGTCAAACAATATTCCTCATAATGTATTGTATTCCTTTGTTCTTTTAATGGAAGGGGGGCTGTGACTAATGGCCCTGAGAAAGAGGCAGTGACAGAGGAGAAAGTATAAGGTTACTGCCCAAGGTCTTTATTTTCTCTCCAGGAGCCTCCTCTTAAAGGACATCTTACTGCACTGCAGGCATTTCACTTAAGAAACACAGTTCCTTAAGACATTTAAAGTCTAATGCCCAGCACGACATAGAGGAAGTTGTGCAAAGGCTTCTGAAAGGGAAACGTAACAACATCTAATATATGCCATTAAATCATTATAGTTCACACCGTAAATTACTACAATAGAATTCTCAGAAATCTAACTCGTTTCACAGTAAAATAGTGCTATGCACGCCATACTATGCACTACATTTACTCCAACTTTAGTGAATGTCCCGTAAATCAGATATAACCAAACAAAGCCTCTTCGTAGATATTTACTAAGAAGCCATGTACCTAAGTGCTTTGGCTAGCAGAGGTATCGCTCAGCAGGAAACACAAGCAAATAGAGTGTTGATTGTCTTAATGAAGCTATTGATTGTTAGTTAAAAGCAAACACATCGGGTGCTCTTGGCTCGTGTTCTCCTGAAAACACAGCCCAAGCGTCTACACAGTGTTCATTGAGGGTCTCAAAGTGGGCTATTGTGCCACTCCACTTCCCTTAACCCCGTTCAGAGGCTTTGTCAGCCTGCCAGCCTGCACCGTGGGCACCCACTCCTTGGCATCACTCTGAAATGGGACAGAACACAGTAAGGGTAGCCAAAGGCCTAGAGCAGCGTACTGATCGCCCCGGGACAGCTGGGAGTCCAAATGGGCCAATTTCCGCCTTATTACTCCAGGTAATGTTGATGCATGGGGAAGCTTTCTGGACTCCTGCTCAGATGGTGGACCGTAGGGTGCTGGTGAGGATTTGGCCAACACAGCCTGGAATAAAGGCCTGGGGGGGAAACTGTTGTGACTTTAAGATACAGATTCACTGAGGTCAGAGAGAACTCTAGTCAAGTTATCACTCATGGATGAAGAACAGACTAAGAACAGCTTACTACCCATTTGCCAGATTACTCAAACAAGAAACAAGCCAAACATCACTCTACCCTTGCTAAGCAGAGGATTACACTGAATTTAAAGGAAACAAATGCAGAGGACACAGAGACATTTGTTCATAGTTAGGAGTAGATACATTGTAAAAAGGCACTGGCATGATGAAAGACCTCCCTGAGTTTTTCCTCATTGTGTTGACAGAGGAATGCTCTGGTGTGGAACGGAGCTGAAACATTTGATCTCAGGAGGCTGAGATGTCCTGTAGTGGTCTACAGCAGCAGCACTACCAACTGGAAAGGGAACCTCTCCATTGCTGCTTTAATCCTTAGAAGTCTATGGTTATTACTGTAATTTTGCTATACATCAGAATTACTATAATTATATGTAACTGCATAATTAATACCTCAGTATGTTGCTTATTACATATATGTTACAGAGTATTACAAATTGACAAATTGTTTGAATTATAGATTGATTCACATTCAATCTTCAGTCTTTGCTCTTGAAATTTCCACGTCAAAAAATGGAAAAACATCCACAAACCAAGACTGTATGCATAACAATAGTGCTTAATTAGATTATAATCATACTTATATTATTACAAATCCATTTACATTCAATTTACATTTTGTATCAACAGATTTCAGTCTGCACTTCTGCCTTTTCTCCATTTCTTCTGATGTGAAAATAAAAAAGATAAAAACATAAATTCAGTAATAAAAGAAAGTTTAGAATCTGTACTTTTGACAAAAATGCTCTGCTTGTTTCTGTTGGCTACAAGTGAGAAATAATTAAATAAAATGTAAGAAGAGATATTTTATTGAGTATGCACCATAGGGGATCTAGGAGGGTTAATGCTCCCTGCTCTTCATCCCAGTGATGGCTCATCAAGCACACCTGGCCCCAGCCGCCCATGTTCTGCTACATGTTCTGCGCTTCTTCAACTACACCCACAGGAACACGTCGGGTTTACGCGCTATGTAGGTCACTGCTGGGAGCTTTCCGCCAGGGAAGGGAAGGAGGCAAGCCAGAAACAAGCCAGTCATGCCACACTTATTTCACTTTTCCTCCTTCTTTTTTGGGGGGGAGGAATCACTTCAGGGTCCCAGAAGCATCCGCAGTGCTGGCAGTAAAAACGATAACGAGGCGCTTGGAGAAGATAGACCATCTGAGCTGGATGTACATATTCCCGGCCACACAATGAAACAAACTAATAAGCTGTCTTTGGGTGCAGGCAAGGAACATTTCACACAATTCCAATGACACAACTGTCAGCGGTGAGGCTGAGCACAGGAGCTAATAGTATCCCTGTGCAGATACGGTGGAGAAGGCCATTTTGAGGGGCTCGTGAGGAGAAGGGGAAGGTGATTACAGTTTCCCAGTGTGCCACAGAAGCCAAGACTCACTGAGTTTATAAAGAGGGATGATGTAGCTCTGAGCTCTCTCTATAAAAAACATTCGGGAGGACTGTGACCACAGACAGCCCACAAAGACAAAAGGGTAAAGCTTCACCTGCCTGGCTCCAAGATAAATTTAGGATATGATAGAGTACCTTTCTCATACTGAATAGGTAACTCTGTTTCAGTTACAGTATAAACTGCCTTTAGAAATTTCACTCCAGACTGAAAAAATATCCAAATATGATGAATCTATATATTTGACCAAATAAGCACATTTTGATAAAAAAAAACCTGCCTTAAATCATTTGATAATCCCATGCTATCATCAAACTTGACCTGGCCTTACACTGAAAAAAAGAATGCAATTATTTTACTTGATCCAAACATCTGCAGAATTACAATGTGAATAAATAT